GTAGTACTAGGTCGCCTTTCCTCTAGATATTAGATCGGTTCAAACTGATTCAAACCAAGTCAGTTTGATCAGCGATTTAAGCAGCAGACTCGGTTATAGCCCAGTCTAAGACCGCTTCCAGATCGATTCGAACCGATTCGACTTAGTATGCTAGTAAATTAAGAATTATAAAAAGAGTGTTGTTCGATCTCAGTTAGGAGCACTTTTCTCAAAATTTTAATTTTTATCTCTTTAGCTTTGGTAGAAATCTTTTAATTTTTACAACGTTTTTTACTAGATAAAAAAATATATATTAATAATTATATAAGAGTCTTTGCGATAATGAATTATTTTCTCCTAATTTAAGAGGAACCTTCTTTACTATATAAGAGAACCTTCTTCGCTATTAGAGAATATCCTAAAAATATCTACTATAATACTTAATATAACTATTAATCTTGAAGGTTAGAAGCAATAAGAAAGTATCGAAGGATCGAGAAGGATCGAGACTTCGCAATCTACTAGAGATATAATATAGTGTTGAAGTCGACTCCAAGGTACTAGCAGTGTTATAAGAAGAATCTGAGAGAAGTACTGAGAACCTGGAACGGACTGGAGAGAGACTTTAGTCTGTGTATAAATGGTATATATACTTAGTACGGTGTAAAACCCTCGGCGGTGGGAAGCTTACTAGTAGGACTATGTAGTGTAAATAATACTTTCGTGGAAGATTAGTAGTAGTACCAGAAGCAACATTCTGAGGATGGTACGAAGTTTGCTGAAATTGGACTAGCCGATAAATGTTGACCAATAGACATCCGCGCGAAATATCTTGGCGCATGAATTGTGTACCGGGTAGTGCCTATTAAGGGGGTGGTTCAACCCGTCTGCCTGTTTTCCAAGTCAACCTCAGACTTTTAACAAAAATTTTCGAGTTTCTTTGGAAAGTGTCTTCCCTATACAATTAGTGAGCTAGTATTGTCTGGCCCTTTGATTCATCTTCATGTCCTCCTGACCATTAGCAAACTCGAATCATGTCAAGCGGTGACGAGCTTTCCTGCTTTTCATTGAATTACGATGCTAGTCCCACCATCATCTTTCTGCATGGACTCTGCTCCAACCACACCGAATACACAAAGGTGTTCCCATTTCTTCCCGACCACCACCTGCTTGCTGTTGACCTCCCCGGCCACTCGCAATCATCACACATTCTTCCGTTCACCCTTCCCAATGCGGCCGATCAGGTCGCTCGGGTGATAAAACAGCATGCCCGAGATGGTCGTGCTCATGTGGTGGGCTCATCCCTTGGTGGGTTTGTTGCTCTTGAGCTGGCGAAGCGACATCCCGAGGTGGTCGAAACCCTCTTCGTGACCGGTGCAGCCCCGTTCGTCGGGTACAGGAGATGGTTCGCAGAGCACCCGAACTTCCTGTACTGCCTCCAGGCCTCTATCTCCAAGTACAGTCCCGGCTGGGTGGACAAGGCAATCTGCGCGTGGATCGGCCTACAAAAACCCGACGGCCTTCGTGAGCAAGAGCGGAGGAATTTCAGCAGGCGGCTCCTGACGGATGGGTTCAGAAGCATCGCCCAATTCGCCGACAGCGATCTGAGCTCGGTGCATGTGAGGACTTTGACCATTGCTGGTGAAATGCAGGACGATGTGCAGGCGACTCGCAACATGGGCAAACTGCTGAGAGAAAAAGGATGCGCGGAGAGCAAGGCAGCCATTGTCAGATCTGGTGCTCACGCTTGGGACTTGCAGTTTCCTCAACTGTTCGCAAAGACCGTTAAGGCATGGATCGACGGGTCGGACCTTCCCGATGGCTTGGAGGATATATCTTGACCTCACCTGCTTCCTTTTATGGGAGCTCTGGAAATAGTACTATACATTGTGTAGTACTAGTATACAGTAAAAATCGTACATAGTGTAAATATGGAGGTGCACCATTGGCATGAAAGATATTTAGATTGACCATGAGCCGTGGACTTTGAAGAATACTACTACTAGCCAGCCACAATCAGATGAGGGCGAATAATATAGATTAATATCGCGAGTAATTTGCCGCAATCGACCATAGGATGTGGAGAACAGGGCTTCCCGTTCGCTCAGCCGTACTTAAGCCACATGCCGGTCAGTTAGTACTAAGGTGGGTGACCACTTGGGAATCCTGACTGTTGATTGTTTTTGTTAGTATATCCTTTTTTTGGTCACTCTATTGTATTATGGAGTGGCGGAGAATAAGTATACCATTATTCCCTTTTTTTTAAGATAGTATTTTGGCCGGATGTGGCCGCTTCTGCGGCCAGGAACGGCAAGCCAGTGCGGAAAGTTGCCGAAACCTGCTCCAAAATCTGCCCGAAATCTGTCTGCTTTTCTGCCTGACATTGCTAGCGAGATATTACATACTAGTACGCCCTAGATCTAGACCAATGGGAAGGACGGCACATCCATCCCAATCTTCAGCCTCAGCCTCATTTTCTGAACAACACCAGATCAGATTTCGGCCGCCTCATCATAAATGTGGATTGAACGAGGGGCTCAGCCTACCCTTCGTGATTTCTACGAGGACTATATCACCCGAGCATGAGCGACGAATACGAAGTCCGACCAACACCATCAAATTCTACCGTTAGATCGAATGCTGTACGCCTGCTCGGGATGCCCTCCTCACTTGGTCCAGGAACATATCGACCTTGCTGAGGCATCATTGGCAACGACTCACCATACTTACCCAGTCGCTTAGATCTTCATTCTCCTGGACAATTTTATAGCCCATCGGCGGAAGCGTTTCTTCCCCTTGAGCTCGAATGGCTGGACTCTATGCATCAGCAATTTCCCCCCTTCGCCGAAATCGAACCTGCAGTCGAAGTCCTAGATACTGGTCTCTCTGTTGCCAGGCTGTCCGATGTACCAGCAGCTGATTTTTCAACGCCGAACAAACATTCCACGTTAGAACGCAGCAGAACTGCCCCGCGAACCCCGCGAGATGCGATTCCACTCGAGCGAGATGCGTCACCCCGGAAATTTTTTCAATATGGATTTGATCGACACGTGGACTTCGCGGATTCCATTCTTGCGCTTCGAAGAACACCTGCAAGCACAAGGTATGACCCCAGTTCACGGCAAGGGGATTGCTCGGCTTCGTGCAGTACAGCCATTGTGGCAACGATTGATGTTTTCTCTTTAGCTTTGCTGTCGAGATACTATTAAATCGATCCTTCTAAAGTTTCCAGATCATGTTCAACTCTGGTTATTAGACATGGGGCGTTTTGAAGGGTTTTAAATATATCATAAGCACCTTCGATGGCCTTGATGGCTAGACTGCATATCGTGTCTACCGGAACTGCCATCGTTGTAGATCAAGGCTTTATGAGAAGGGTTCATTAAAGGTATGGGTTTCAATCCTACGGAGTAGAACAAAGAAGCCGAAGAACAGCAACAAAATGGACTCCAAGCGGGCAGATATAGCCATAGAAGCATGGTGGTACGATTGTGATCACACGTGAAGCCCATGAACCGTGAAGTGGAACCACAGTTGCATATCCATTTCTTGAATCTGTGGACGAATTATGCTCACCTGAATTTATATCTGGCCTCACATGATATGCCCAGCAGAAGAACGATGCTCACGTCGACTGATCGAGACCTCAGTCATCACCTGATGCGATCCAGCATTCCAGATAGATCCCATCGTGTAAAGTTGACCTAAGGCAGTGTCTGAATGAAGAGAAATATCAAGACTTAGGGAGGGCTCTGGGGGGCAGAAGGTGAGCCGAGGATAAGTAAAGCGGCTCGGTACGAGGGGAAGATAGGTGACTACCTGAATTACTCAGCTGGCGAATCTTGACCTCTAAAGTCCATTTCCGGTTTCAGACCTGAGCATCCCGCTATTTAGCCTGAGCTATGACTACCCAGTAAGCCGTTCTGAGCTTTGGCTGTGCAACCCTAAGCTCGGCTCCGAGACGTGCCCTGAGTAGCATGAGCATAGCCCTGAGTCTGCGGAGAGTCCTAAAACTTGGCCCCTTGGTTCCTAGGTTTTGGTGTTTCATATGGTCGGCAGGGCCAACCCCCGGGCTCCTTTCGGTTATTGTTGCCAGGAGTGCTCGAGGCCGCTTTCCTAGGTTAAAATGTCGCCTGGAGGAGGTACTGAGTGGGACAGGGGGATGCAGCGAAATTGGTGTGTAATTTGGGGATGCCAGCCTCGAATTCGTCCCCATAAGAACACTTCCATCTCTTCCAGGTATTGATTAGGTTCTCGAGGAGATATTGGCAGAGGGCATCGAGTATAGAAGGGGTAATAGATCGTCGCCGTCTAACACCATTTAAGGGGGCGGTATTGCTGCCGAACCGCCGAAGATTTGCATAAATCGCTTAGACGGCGCCACGACTGCACGTAGCCGCACTAGCTATCTCGGGATGAGTGAACAAACGATCGACGAACATGTCTCAAATCAGTTCATGCTGTGGGGCTGCGAGGTTCGGTGCCATCTACTGTTTTGTAACTATGCCATGGAAAGGCTGCAGTGCTGTGAATGTCATGTTGTGGTTGACCTTTCCAATGGAATACTGCATTCTCAAAAAGTCCAAAGCCACAGTCAGAAGCCACAGTCAAGAGCCACAGCCCAATACACATCAAGTGCTGGAGATGTATCACGTGATATTGGTTTGATCATATTCTGCGACCTGGAGCGAGTCGGTGACCCCTGGCCGAATGCCTAAGCATCAGATAGCAGGGGTAAAATCCTGGAAGCACAAAACTGGTAATTATACAAAGAGACAAAGCCGTTACCCGTCACACAGTACCCGTCGAAGTCATCTGTACCTCAGTGAGGAGCAATGAGGGCGATCTGCCTCGGCGTGGAGGGTTCTCGTGGCGCTCTTTGCCGGCTAAGACGGCACAGATCTCCGAAACGAGGATAGCACCATGGTCACTGAAGACTCCTGCCAGCCGACTTCAAATCTGCTCTTCGCGCCGAGAAGCGTTTGTCTGTGGTGTTAATATGTTTTGTCTTAGGCTGAAGCATGTCAATCGACTTCGAGAAACCGGCTACGCCCACTCGCCACCTCGAACATGGTCCACATGAAAAACACGTTGTCGAAGACCACCAGAACCGGGAAGTTCTTGCGGCGTTTGAAAGTCCGTTCGATCTTCCGGCATGGCGGAAATGGGTCATTACCACTCTTCTGGCGTTGATGACTACGGCTGTCACGTTTGCGAGCTCTGTCTGGTCTGCAGCTATCGCCGCAACGTCAAAGGAATTCAACGTCAGTGAAACAGTGTCACTCTTGGGGGTGTCGCTTTATGTGTTGGGATTTGCTGTGGGTCCCATTGTTTGGGGTACGTTCGCCGCTCTACGTCAATTGAGAATACCTTATCTATATGTTTCCGAGTCGTCGCATTTCGTGCTGACCTGACGGTGTGGTCGCTGAAGGTCCCTTATCAGAATTCAAAGGACGTCGGTTACCACTCTTCTCAGCCTTCTTCGCGTGGACGGTCCTCCAAATACCCATCGGAGTGGTCAAAAATCTCCCTGCACTTCTTGTATGTCGCCTGTTAGCCGGCTGCTTCGGAGCTTCGCCTCAGGTCTTGGTCGGTGCCACCTACGCTGATTTTTGGGAGCCAGCGGAGCGTGGCGTCGCAACCGCAGTCTACTCAGTAGCTGTCTACGTAGGCCCCACTCTTGGGCCCATCTTTGGAGCCCTTCTCACCGAAAGCAGCCTCGGTTGGCACTGGACGGGCTGGGTTTCCCTCATTCTTGGCGTCGTTGTTGGAATTCCGGCTTTCCTCTTCATCCCCGAGACATATGGCCCAATCCTCCAACAAAGAGCAAACAAGAAATTCAACTCGGCACAAGACTCCTCCGCATTGACCGAACAAAATGTCAAGCAAGCTCCAGCCGTTGCAGAATTTGTGCACAAGTACATGTTCAAGCCGGCAATCATGTTCTGTGTCGAGCCAATGCTCATGGTCATGGCGTTATATATTGCCATCGTCTATGGGATCCTCTATCTGACCTTCTTCGCATTTCCATACAGCTTCGTCCAAGACCGAGGTTGGGATCCTCGTACCGGGACCCTCCCATTTTTGAGCATCCTGACAAGTGTGGTCGTATCTGCGTCCGGGGTGGCGCTGTATTCGAAACGATATTATCGTCCCAGGCTACAGGCTCGCGGCTCGGTCTTGCCCGAGGACCGCCTACCATTGGTCATGCTCGGTAGCATGATTCTGCCAATCGGGCTCTTTTTCTTCGCCTGGACTTCGTCACGCAAGACCTCCCCGGTTCCGCAAATCGTCGCTGGGTTTTTCATCGGAAGTGGCATCATGCTCATTTTCACTAACGCTGTGGCGTTTCTGGTGGACATCTACCTTCAGTCCGCTGCCAGTGCGATGGCGGCAAGCACGATCGTGAGGAGTTTAGTGGCGGCCAGCTTTCCGTTGGCTGCACCACGCATGTATAAATCTTTGGGCACAGCATGGGCTACGAGCGTCCTCGGCTTTCTGTGCGTGTTGGCCATGCCAGCTCCGTTTCTCTTCTACAAATATGGGCGGAAGTTGCGACAGATGTCGCGGTTTGCTCCGATGCCAGAATAGCTGTCCTCCATGACAATGCATGCAGTCAGATCCTGATCATAGTGCGCCCCGGGCTGAGATAGTGGTTTCAACATCTTCCAGCCGCTTTCACCCCAAATTTTAGGTCTTCCAATGATGAAATGGCACTACCACATGCAGCTAAATACCTTTGTCGGGACAGATAAGTTACGCCGCGAAGATGACTACCTCATCCCGGAAGCGACTTGTGCAGAAAATAAGCTCTGACCAACAAATTGCCTCACATAGTGGTCGCTGGAAGGTATATTATTTCTTCGGAAGCCTAGAAAGGTTCTTCTGATTATATACCTCTTCCTCCAGCTGCGTCCGGACTTGACTCTGTTGACGCCGTGGACTCGATTCTTCTCGCTCATGCCCTCTATAAATAAGAATCTGCCATACCCAAATCCCGCTGTGATTGTCCACTCCCTACGCTCAAACTTGCAGGTCCGCCCCCAACGATGCAAACAGCAGGAGCGGCTGCGACCGGCGCAGCAATCTCAGCAAGAAGGCAAAATTGATCGAGCCACAATCAGAACGAGTGTACTTGCTGTAGACATAGCAAACAGATTGAGCAATTGCTTATGAAGACTCACTTTCTTGAAAATCATTGATCAGTCCGGGTCCGATTTCACTTGCTATTGATATTTGTCTCGGCCCATCTGGAAGGGTGTTACGGGCTGTGAGTCTGGCTATTCATGGAAATCGCTTGTAGAAGCGCCTGAGGCAAAATCAGGTTGAGGCTACTTGCCATTTTTCGGTCACAGATTGAACTCCTATTTCCTCTGAATGAGGAGCCTATCGTGTGTGGCTCAGACAAGATTCATGTCAACCTAAAATGCGTCCACACCCCCTGGTGAAGAAGATCGGCGGGTTGAGACGTCGATGCTACAGAATTGTACTACGTGTCAGGACCGTTCGTGTAGCACCAACTTGGTTTTGTCGTTCTTTATCGCTGACCGTTAATCCTCGTCCTTGGATCCCGTTCCCTACCAGACAAGATGGATGTTTTTAAAAGATTGTCAACATCTATAACAAGCCGACAAACTGTTGAACAGAGGGTCCTTCTTGAATCAATCTGACAGCATCGTGTGATAGTCTGGCAATATCGTATGAGAGTCATAAGATGTACATCGACAGCGTCGATTCCGTGCGATTCCGTGCGATCCCGTGCCAAGAGAAGAAGTTATCGACAGGCTATAAGGCTGTCAATATGGCATTAGACAGACAGAGAGGGATATACACAGGCAGATTCAGAACAGACTATCATATCATAAACGCACACATCCAAATTGCACTGTAGTGCAACGCAAACACATATGCGCGATTGCGTTCTAATTTCAACTTCCCTAAACCATTCCTCTCTCACATCGAATATATATATATATGCAAAGACGTAACTGCGACGGCCATCAGTTGCCTACACGCACCTGTTCTATACTGCTTCTAGGGCCCCTTGATGCACATCTCAATGTCAGCCTGCAGCCGTCGTGGCAGCGTCCGTTGGGATCCCGTCTGGTAAGCCGATTCCACCTTCAACTCGATTCCCGCACACGGCAGCGTTGCCCCCGGACCTGCAAGAGGCTCAGCCCCGATGTCCACCATTTGATTCGAGCCATTGAATATGGTTTGTTCGCTGGAGACCTTGTAGTTCATGCCTAGAGCTGTATCGAGAGCTGAATCGAGCTCAACTTGGAGCCAACCCTCCCAGCCTCCTTTTAGTTTCCTGGTACGAAAAGTGCCGGGGCGTTGGTTATTGAGGAATATCGCTATCTCTTTGATCGTGCCACCAAGTTGATGACTTTCCACCGCCAGTGCATCGGGACCCATTCCATTGATCCACTCACGTGACTGTGGTTCAGAGAGTTAAAATTCGTGTTGTAAGAAATGTGCTTAGACTGCTGTTGCTGTCGTGGTTGGTTCTCGATAGAGGTGAATGGGAAAAGGGCTCAGTGAGCAGGTTGTTAAGGATGAAGAAGCGAATTCGAGGATTTTAAGGGAGAATGTAGGCAAAGTTCATGTGGAGGAGATAGACTGGAGCAGAAGAACGTCTCGTGAAGGGGCCTCGATTTCTCGTGAATCAGTGGCCGTGGATAGACCAATAGCGATCAACCATGTATCATGATTGTGTTGCGCCTTTTCAGGGTGTACGACTGGCATCGACGCACTGAGTCTGGAAAGGTGTGTGGATACACAATCTTGAAGTTTCCAATTACCGCTATTGCTAGAAGCGTTCGGGGTGAAATTGGTCCACTTAAGTCTGAAACATTAACTTGGTATCTCTACAGTACATAGATAGCAAATATTTTCTCTCTCAATGGTTACGACAACGTTCATCGGGTTGGCTTCTAGAGGCAACTCTTCATTTGAATATACAATAAGCGCGAACTTCGAGACTGCAGCGAGGAATCGTTCCTGGGCGATCATCGAAAAAGGTATTGTGTGGAACCCGCCAGGGAGAGATTGGTGTCAACCAATTTGAATGATAGTATTTCGTCCTTGACCATGTTGGCATAGTAGACCCAGCGATAGTTTGGCTTATAGTGGAATGTATATCCAGCACCGATAAGTTTGTCCTTCTTGGCGATCGATCGTGCATCTACAAGTCCATCTTCCATGGTAGTATCCAGGGGCGGTATTGGAGGATATGGCGCAGTCGTAGCTCTGGCCATGCAATCAGGTATGAATGTACACCATCCTCGTCTGACAGAGTATCCGGATCGCAAAGCCCCAGAGGATAATCCTGGGGAGGGTGGCTCAGAGCACGCCAATTCCTCAGGAACTGTATGCGGCTGGGCTTCGAATCTGCCATGCCAGCTTGTACAGCCACATTTTGACTTGATTGCGAGCAGTGTCATCGTTCACATCAACATGGACGTCGCCTGCAACAGGTTGAACATCTCAGCTTTTTAGATCTTTCTTCGACTGTCGTAGCCTTGGCATGTCGCAGGACACAATATCAGCACCAGTCCTTTTCTTGATATATGCCTCCAGTTCTGGAAAGTATTCTCGTTCAATGGTTGCCATGTCCAGAGATCTTTGCTCTGGACTCGTTCTAGGCATTAGTCTTCCAAGCTTGTGATGCTGAGGATGGAAGAGAACTTACCTTTGGGGTACATGTTGCCAGTTCAAACCCCTTGGTTTCCAAGGTATAGCTTTCTTTCATCGGTCTGACATCTCTTACTATCACATCATACGCACCATATTTACCTGTGCTCAAGGCTCCACCGGGACACACATATCTCCGATTGTCGGATGATTCGGGGAGGAGGCGATTCACGGTCGTTTTCACAGCGTTGACTCTTATTTCGTTGCTGTCAAGTAATAAACTACCAATTGCTTTTGATGTTGACTCTCTCATCCCTTTCCTGGTTACTAGCAAAGCTTACCCTTGAAGATGAGTGCGGATGTACAAACTTCGAGGGCCTATTTGCGTTTGGTCTAATTCTGTCTACCTCACAACCGGGGCACAGCGGAACATGTTTCGGTATAGTAAACCAAGCTTCCACAAGGCGCTGTGAAAGATCAAGCAATAGCCTCCTAGACTACACCCGAATTAAGTGATAAGCAACATTTATAATAGCTGCTGCAGAGAACCTCTTCCACGTACACTTTTTTCATCTACGACTCTTTCATCATCACAGAAGCAAAGTAAGCAGCGAAGAGGTCGTATTGTGAGAGAAATGGCAAATACCGAGTAAAGGACAATGTCATGGCCACTTCCAGCTTGACCTATGGTAGTTCAATTTCTCACATTGTGGCTAGGGAAGCTTTCGACATGTTTGGGATTCAGAAGCGGCCCAAAAAGTACAAGGTAGAAACTGGAAAAGTTATACTTCGATATCAAGCAAGAAGATAGGGTTCGTTCATGTGATCCTCCTTGAGGCTGTGTTTTCCTACTACTGCCAGGTAGAATCGCACTGTTCCTAAGTGACTAGATGTTTTCTTACTAGGTTTAGTGCCTAGATCTAAAGATGGACCGAAACAAGGTCTCACACCTCGAATCCTCTTGCCGTGCTTGAAGTGTGGGAAAGGCCGGAGTTACAGTCAAATTCGAAATCGCCTTCCGATTGTTTTGGGGGGTGGAAATTGTCTCTGTAGGGATCACGCTGTCTGGATGCTGATAGTGCAGGTTGCGAGACAGGGAAAATACCTGCTGACAACACCTCGGAATCCAGAAATGGTCTCAGGTCAGAGAATAATAAAGTGACGCGTCTACCCAGTAGACTGGAGTCCGGCACAAAATCTGTTCTTAGCTCTACCCATAAACTGAATTGTCTCACTTAATATACTAGATGCTCTATAACGCTCGTATTTTGAAGCATGTCACATCGGGATATTACTCTATTCGATGACGAGCTAAAGGTCCCTCCCGTTGAAATGAGGATGCAACACATACACCACACCCATCGTACCGCCACGGCACCTGCAAACTGGCTCTGATCAGAGTAGAAAGAATCATCGTGTTAGGTGGACGACACTCTCGAAGGGCCGTCTCTGGTGTTGTACTGCCCTGTCTCTTCAATCTTAAGAGACTGAACTAAGTGAAAAGCTTTTTTATTGTACAAATCGAAAGGAAAAATTGTAGCGCAAAGCATTAGCCTCCCCTGTTCAGAGGCCCATTGTACCTCCAACCCCCACTCACTGGTTCTTATTCAGGTAAACCGTTGTCTGTGTAATGGTTGACAGAAGACAGGCGAGCTTTTGGTGTAGCTTCTCCACTAATGTATCATCTGGATTGTATCCTTTCGGATTAGTGATCCCTCCAAAGACAATTGCTGTTGACAGGGTTACAAGATAGCCACTGTGGCAGACCACCTAAGAGGCTACCTGTCACACCAACTGCGGCACTTACCTCAACACCGTTGTTCTTACCGACCTGCGACAGCATGGCAATAGAATAGGAGGTTTTAGGAAGGGCCTTCAGATTACAGGCCAAAGGATACATAAATAGGCAGAGTCTCTCTGAATAGCCAGGGCGATAAGACACAATCAATCAGATAGAACCCCTCCTGTTCTGTGTTCAACAATTACCTTCTTGTATGCTCATCTTATATAGGTCCACTACGTCGTTCCCAGCAACCGATAGCAATACATCTCATGAATGTTTTGTGAACAGAACGAGGCCGTTTCTGCTCTCTGGAAGATACTGAATTATGCCATTTTTGCTACGGCATCTTGCTTAGCCAAATCCTTAGAAAACATATCAACATCGTCGACGTTGTCTACGACGAGAAGTAATGGCCAAGCCGCTTCTGAGCCCAGAGAGAGTCGAACAGATTCTAATGGATCCTCATCCTCGCTTCTTTTCTCTACCTATGACCGTCTTGCTATCTCCATATATGTCTATTCAAAACTTACGCGGCTTGGTGCTAGTACTCAGAAGACAGTGTGATCTGACTTATTCTCTTTTGCCTAGTATGCTAGCTGTAGAGCAGCCTATGTCTTACTAACGGCTTCAAGCCCGATGATTACGATAGCCTGGCACTCCTTCCCTGTGAATAGCATCTCTCGAAGTCTGGTCAACGTGCCCTCCTGTCCGACAAAGCCTCTATTGACAGAGGAAAGGATGTAGGGATGAGGTCTACCACCGCTGTCTACCATGGTGTCCGGAGGCGCCTCCCGGTATGGAATACCTCCTCGTACATTATCTTGATTCGAGACCGACGTGGCGAGTCTTTCTTATCTCCCCAGCTCCCCAAGTAGCCGTCTGAAGCCGTTATCTACCGTAGAGCGAAACGTGACCATGTCGTCGTGGTTTGCGTGCACACTAAGCGATAAATATCCCTCGAACATCGCAGATTCATTCGATACCACCTACCTCGACTATCGGCAAAGGCAGCTCTTCGAAGAAGGACGTCACGTCCAGACGTCTGCTGGCCTCGTGAAGCTCTCGGTATAGGTGGGCTTGGCTGGTTGATCATGGGAAAAAAAAATTAAATAGGGCATCTGCGAGTGCTCCGGCCCTATTTCACTAGATTCAAGAACATAAGACCGTCATCCTAAACAAGGCAAAAGGTATTTACATTCAAGCCACGCGCGATCAAAGCTTCCGGGTCCAACCGAGGATCATGCTTGATAATCTCGCCCGTCTGGTTGTGTTGAAAGACCTGGAATATGACCGGATCATCCATGGTCCTGGGAAGGCTCGTAACCCTCGTCCACTGTTCAAGGGGCCCGAGCCTTGGGTCCTCGTCCGAGAGCACGTTGGATTGTGGGTTGAAGAATCTGTATGCTGTTAAATAGCCAGCATCGTCTTCAAAGACCTGCACTCGCCATGGACTGGGTAGTTGGCCCAGCAACGCAGTGGCGTCGTGCAGCCCGTAGACGAATGCATCGCCGACCAGGGCAAAAGTTTTGGGGTTTCCCGACTGTGGCCGCAGCAGCACTGGAGCGTCATAACCAAGGAAAACACAGGTGATGTCGCCTAACTCTTGTTAGCTGGCCATGAAATGACATCTTGATGGGTCCGAGCTTTGACCACTCACCAACTTCACAACCCGCAGGTCCTAACCCGATGTATCCCCTGTCAGTGATAAAGTACCGTCGACCCTGAAACAGTCGCAAGGCTCGTTCCTCAGAGAAGACAATAGGGACCTTGGTATGACTATCCCAAGCTTCAGGAGAGGGCAGTCCCCTCTTACCCGATTTCCCAAACAGAGCATTGGGGGAGTCCTGTGTCAACCAAGTTTCCAAATCTGGAAATTTGAGCGTGGGGAACCTCTCTCGTACATGATTCCCAGCCACTGTCTTTGCGTATGCCACCCGAAAGGGCTCGCCTGTGACATACAACGGCGCAGTGTCGAGATCGTCAGGCTCCAAAGCCCTCACATCAGCTAGTGTCTCCAAAAGATTGTCGCTTACCGGGATTAGTTTCGTCACATGTGTTATTCTGGCGCATTGCACTCCGGCCACCTTCAAGACGTCTTGCTGCAATTGCTCCTCCCATCTACATTCTGCCCAGCACCGTGAGTACCCAGCGGCAAGCTGCATGCCAACCTCTCTGCCGACAACGGGCGGTGCCGAAAAATCAGGCACCCATGAAGGAGTTCCGGGCTGCTCTCTCCGCGCGAGAGTGCATGCCTCGAAAAAGTCAAGTCGCTGCGCATGCTCAATGTGCGCCAGCATGACCTCTTTGTAAGCATGTCCGACCGGTAGGTCATAGCGGGGCTCGATCCGAGAAGAAAACGAAGCCGGTAGCAGACCGAGGAGACCGTAGATGAGATCCCGCTGGTCGGAACAGCCCCTTCCATCCACCAAATTCAGAAGATTCCAAGAGATGGGGTAATTGGACCCCATTTGCGCTAAACGCTTCACTAGCCGCAGCCTCATCCGCGGAATGAGTGACTGCGAGAGGTGCTCGCTCGTATACAGGAAATTGACTGCGTTGCAAAAACGATCCCAGCTTACGAAGCTATTTCCACAGCACAAAATAACCTCCTTGGCGAGCTGGATCTCCTGGATGACCCACAGCCGTTTGAAATAGTCTCTGTTCAAGACCTGGGTGATGTCCACCCAAGTGCCGCGATCGTACGGGAGCACCGTCCGGCGGTTCCAGTGTCTTTCCGTCGCCGTAGGGGTGGCGATGACCAAGTTGTCGACGGTCGTTAGGGTCTGACTTCCCAGAAAATCGAGGGCTCGCATCGCATTGCTACCGTTTGCCGAATCTGGGCCCAGCCACGCGACCACGCGCTGGGCGCGTGGGTAGATATCGACCATGCGAGGAACATGTTCGTTGCGTTCGTTGACATCCGATTGGTTGATGCAGAGGGCGTCGATCCATATCGTGCGTAGTTTGTCAGGGTAGCGAAGATGACGGATGGCAGAGGCGAGATTCTTCCTGATGGAGAGCTTCGAGGAGGAGGTGCCGGTTGCGATGTATGCTGTTTCAGGATGAAGTGGCGAGCCCCATGTGTAGGACAAGGCTTCATATTTCGGCTCGTAGTTTTCTCTCCCTTCGTTCGGCTGGAGATAGAGGGATGGATCGATAGTATCGATGGGGTGCGTCCACGATGAGATCCGTGTCCCTGTTTCCGGATTCTTGTAGGAGAACAGGAATCGATAGCTTGCGCGTGCCTCGTGAACATCCCAATTTGGAGGCAGTGTTTTCTTCAACTCTGCTAGGGCCATCCGTCGCGAGACCGTCGGATGAAGCGGCGGCAGGGGAACATGTGAGATTTCGAGAAGAATGATGTCTTCAAACCGACCGGGGAGAATTGTGACAAGGCGAATGTCATCCTTATTTTGCAATTTTTTATATACATAGTTCGGCGCCGCCTCTTCGACGGCGATTGACAAAGTATTCATGTTGGTAGGACAAGTGGTGGATGACGCGATTGCTCTGCTTCAGTTTGGTGCGTGACAAGAAACTGCAGGAGAGGAAGAGGGTTAAATCGGGATGAAAGCCAGGAAGGCCGCATGGTGACTTAATTAAGCGCCCAACGGAGTTGCAGTTTCTGCCTTGCGATTGCGGACCAACAAGGGTTCGATAATTCCATTCTTGCACTTATCCCCGTGGTGTTCGTATGTTTCCATCTCCTCGAAGAGACACACTCACAGTATGGCGTGAGTATTTAATGACATTGGGCGTCCAGAATCGGGCCTGAGTGAAGGTGATAGGGAGGACGATGAGGCCAGTGAGGCTCAACAGCAGTCTAGTTAGCCTGAGCAGATGGTGCTGAGGCTGAGCCGAAGTTAAGCCACGTCACGTGAACCATGAGTAGAGCAGCAAGGCCACCAGTCCCAAATGGATGCCAAGGCGGGTGTAGATTCGGTGCTGAATACCAAACAGCCGCTCGAGAAATGGTGAACCCCAAAAACTCCAAGAGAGGACAAGTAACCGAGCCGCTTATTACGACGCTTTGCTTATAACTTTCGCGCAAGAGGTCTGCAAGAGTCGAGAAAAACGAAAAATTGGATGTCATATGCGAGGGAACTGCACAGAGCCAACAATGGCCAATCTGGGCCCACCAAAAGGCAAACACACCATCCGAGGTGGCGCAGCTCCCTAGGAGGTGAGGCTATCTCGCTCTGGCGAATGTGCCAATAATTATCGCCAGTGTGAGAAAGGATGGCAATTTCAACCCTTTGGCACAAGTCCGGTGAACGATACCGCAGATTCCGAACTAGCCATGCCAAAGATCCCCCCAAAAAGAAATAATGGTAACAAGGGGGATGATCCAGAAGGGGCACCTCCATGAAGTCCATTTGGTAATCCAAGCACCGGTCATGGGTCCAGCTGCCAGACCGGGCAAAGGAGCTGCGGCAAACAGCTTCATAAATATCCCCGTCTCTCCTCGCTCGATCAAGTCCCGAAGACTGTGGCTCCAAAATCAAGCGACAGAATCACCCTGATGCCAAGACCTCTGAACAAGATCAGCGTACTCTTCGAAGCCAAGACGCCACAGACGGGGTTGTTTATAGAGGAGATAAGGAGAGACATTAGCATGCAAGCCTACGGCCCATAGATTCCTGAAACGGGTCGCTTTACCAAAGGCCCTGCCAGGCAGCCAAGGACAAACACAGAGAGGACCATTTGAGACTCTACAGGCGACGAAATAAAAAGATCTGACGCGATATTCAAAAGAGCTGGAGCAGGTACTGGGGCAGCGAAAGTGCTCAAGTATGCTGGGAAGCAGAGAATAGCCACTTCCATTCTATTTAGTCTTATCGGCTCGTGAGGGGTCCAACTGACCCGGTGTTGTGTGAGACGTGCAAGGAGGTCGGTACTATCTGGTGAGACAGATCACGGGTACAAGAGGCGGTAGTAGAGAGAGGTCTTGGAGGCTGTAGATCTATGTCTTCTGTGGGTTTTGGCGGATCAAGATCGGTGAAGTGGTTGGAGACGCGAGGGTCAAGCTGTCGTCGTCTGCCCTGGTTGGGAGGATCACTGCCTCGGCTCTGACTTGCTGCTTCCCCAGGCAGTCGTCTGTGGCAGGTTTTCCACTATTTCCGATACCCGGAGTGCCAGAACTGAATATGGTAGGTGCTTCAGGGCTCACTGTGATGGGAGTCCCAGAATTGAATGTAGCATCAGCCATAGAAACTCCGGTAGCAAAAGGACCAGCGATCGAGACAAGGTACATGACATTCGTTTCTCGGTGGGACAGCGAGTTGACCACAAATAGACAGTCACCGATTTTCAGGGGGGATACACGCCCATTAAGTTTTTGGTTTGGGAGTCCTCCTCCGAAATAATAGAATGGTGTATTAGTTTGCACCACATTGAAAGATCATGAAACTTCAGGTCTCCTGGTAATGCAGCACTACTCTCCATAACTTGGAACAATGCTGACGGGAAAATGATAATGCTAAGTTGAAGGGGAGAAATATTCCTCATCTTGGGCGTGGTAAGGCTGACAAGACGAGTAGGGAGAAGTATAAATTGGTGGTGCTTCAGCGGCCTTGGCTCAGCCTCGCTTCAGCCTAGAGGTTTGTTGGCAGCACACGTAGACAATATTGGCGACACACAGCCCCTGTCTCAAACAGTGGTCGAGACCGCCTGCTCGTGTTGAGCCTCAATTGATGTTCAGAGTGCGACGTTCGGGTTGTGTTCGTGAACCACCTCGCCTGGGGTATTATGCAAACGCAGCACGAGCACACTATAAGGGCTTCCGTGCTCTACACGCCGATGGAACTAGCCGCAGAGCGACTAGACCAGAAGCCATCCGTTATAACAAAGGAGAAGATCTGGAGCGCCTTCTTCCATACCGACCCTCGAAAGGTAAATTCCGCTCTCTTCAACCGATATTTCTGTTACTACGAAGAATTAGCAATGTTGAGACCAGAGCAGCTGCCCACGACCTCACCGAGGAGCCAATTGCTGGCAAAGCGCCACGAGGATCAGATTCGCATTGTTGGCACGGTTCGATCGACTTGTGCACCACCCCGATGGCGCATTATGGGGGAGACGAAACTGCCGCTAGTCGGACAGCATATCTGGTGCTCAGATTGTGGGTGAGGGTAAATGTGCGCGAACCCGAGGTCTCGTTGCAGGTGCCACAGACGCGAACCCGACACTGGGGAAACAATCAAAACCTACAAGATTCCGTCTTTCATGCCTTTCCGGTGTCAACATGGAGAAGCGAGGCAAAAGATGGTCGCCTGTATCCTTCTTTTACGGCAGCCTTCATGGAGAATATATCTGAGCTTAAGGTTGAGTGGACAGACTGCCTCGCTGAACATCCAAGGCTCGGTCAGCAAGCCAACGCCTTGAGGATCTTCTTGTACAAATGGATGCTCCAAGCCCACCTGAAACTGTACGACGGGGTTGCCGCAGAGATCGATATGAGGTTCGTTTTCCAACGTTTCGAATGCAAGATTCTGATTTTGATATCCTACCACCAAGGCACCTTCTCGAAGGGACGATTTGGGGTCCCAATCTTCTGTCCCTGCAATAGGATCGAGACCTCAGGTCCATGCTCAGGGCGAAGCAGTAAGACTTTCCGGCAGGTTGGTCCCTATGACGGGCCTCTAATATTGGACCTCGTTGAGTTTCAGTATTGGCTGGATAGACTTTCGGAACTGCATGATGTGGTGTTCAGGTCCCCTCGAGTCAGCTGGCCCCAGCTTCGAGGAGACCCTCGCAAACCTCAATAATTTTGGACGTTTTGGTTGGCGTTCGTCATCTTGTGGTTAACCTTGATCTCGACAATAACGGGCATTATGCAAGCCTGAGCCTGCATTAGAGCCTTCGAGTAGCGACGCCAGACTATGGGAAAGTCACACTAGCTATTATGCCGGCTTTCCCAAGTCATGGCGTTTGACCTAGTGGGGCATGTAGCTACTGTGCGGTTAGGGCTGCAGCGGCGCTGCGCTGTTTGTCACTCGGGACGTGTTCATCGTGGCTGTTTTATGTTGGATGCTATTTGGTGCATGCTGAACACTGATGCCGGTGGCTGGTTGACAATGAAATAAATTGTCAGGCAGCATGCGAGATCTGATGAATGTCTGTTGCTAATGATATCTAGGTACCCGGTAGGTAATAACTCGGAGCGAGAGTGATTTTTACAAGCGGCCTCGGTGCCAAGGCTTGGTAGATCGTGGTTTCCATGTATGAAGAATTGTCGAGGTCTCCTTATGATGCTGACGATGAGCGATGAGGGGAAGGCTCTCGTGGCTAGTTACTACTGATGGTTAGTTGAAACAAGGACGCTCGATCCGCGAGGGATGCTGGGTCACTCGGGGGAGGAATGGAAGGGAAGACACACTTCGACGACTTCTGGTACACAATGAATCACATATGACAGTCTGGAGGCTGTCGAGCAGACTTAGCAAACTAGCAAATGTTGATTGATTTGAGTCAAATAACTTCTACGTCCATCACTGCGAAAGGACCACATAATTCATCCGCACAACATTGACCACCACCATCATCGTGGGCTAACGACTTAGAGGCACCCCTAAAATGCTCGTATGTCGCATATGCCCACTGTCCTTCCATAGACCACCCGCACGCGTTGAAATATCAGTATTCAGTGCGATGCCGTCCATACATTACAATATATCCCGGATAAACAAGAAAGACGCATTCCCCAGCCCATAAAAAAAATCCATCCATGCACCCAAGCAAAATATCTTTCCGTCACCTCTATCATGAGTGCACCCTTCCCTCACAAGCTTCATAGCATGAACGCTAAGCATCCCATGGCAAAAGCAAACACGGAAGAAATAGCATGACCCATTTTATCCGCAGAACCTGTGAACTGGGAGGCACTGCCGGGGGCCACAGGCGTGATGGGCGGTGAAATGGTGCCATTGCTGCCAGTACCATTGGTATACTTGTTACCGCTGTTGATTCCAGCTTCGGCACTGGCGGCAGCATTGGCTGCTGCGTTTGCATTAGCGTTTACAGCAGCACCGGAACCGCCACTGCTGGCGCTAGCAGCAGAGTTTGCACTCGATGCGGAATTGGCACCGCCAGCACTGTTGCCGGAGGAAGCCTCAGAGTTGGCATTGGCGTTGGCGTTTGCACTTCCGGAGCCAGTATCCGAGCTGCCGGAGGAGCCACTGCTGCCCGAACTTTCGCTGGATGAGCCAGCACCAGCACCGGATCCGGCCGCAGCTTCCACATTAGCTTCGGCACTTGCTGCTGCTTGTGCTTGAGCATTGGCACCGCCGGTTGGTCCAATCACTGGGGTCTGGGTGGCATACGGGCCGGTTGAACATGGTGTAGTAATAGTCATTGTGGTCGCTCCACCATTGTGGCAAACATCGCAGGACACAACGGTAGTAGTAAAGCCTTCGGGAATGGAGGTAGGGTTCGTGGTGGCTTCACAGGGACAAGCCTCCGTGATGGTGTAGGTGGCTTGTCCGATAGACTGACCGTTGCTACAAATTTGGTGGTAGACGGTGAGGTACTCGTGGATTTCCTCCACGTCCCCATTTGGAAGGGTAGTGGTGTAGCTAAGGATCTCGGTACCCCTTGGGCTGGTGGGAGGAGGCGTGATCACAGGACCACCTCCGTTGCAGTTGGGACCCGGGCAGAAAGTGATGGTGCTTGACAAGGTGGTGGTGGTGGTCAAAGCAGTCGGGCAGACGGAATAGTATACAGTAGTAGCACCAGTGTCCGCCGGATCATTGATAACTGTACTTGTCTGCGCCTTGGCTGCAGCGATGAACAGTACTGCCAAGGGCAAATTGGTGCGCGTTGATCGCTTCATGTTTCCAGGTTCGGGGAACTGGTAGGGCGTTATTTTGTTGGTTGTAGCTTCTGTGTATCGTGGTCGAGCGAAGAGAAGTTGAAAACCAATAATTCAAAGGAGTGACTGTGAGCAACAAAAGAGACACTTCCAAAAGAGTGTAACAAGTCTCGAAAAGAAAGCAAGCCTATCGAGGAGGAAAAAGAAAGTCGAAGGATACTTTGAACCGTTGAGCATGATATTTACCTTGGACACAATCACCGTGCGGCGAGGGCAGCGCGATCCACATAACAGTGTCTCTGGAATGCAAAACAACCAGCTCAACAACAAATCATCTCATTCGCAGAGAAGGGGAGAATGTAACGCACGATCCATGGCATTTCTCGAGAATTAGCCTTTGAAATTGTCAAATTCTTCAGCTTCGCACACGGTTTGTAAATCTGGTTGCCGTGAGCAGCAGGAACAGCTGCAGAGGGGGCTGGAACCATTCAAGGCTCGCTAAGGTCCAGCCCGAGGCACTCTAGGCTGTGCGGTCTGGATTCGATCAATCGCTTGAATGGCCGCTCTGCTAAGATAGACAGAAATTGAGGGAGGCGGGCAACGGGGAAAGATGTTTCCTATAAATCGACATTTCAAGCTCATCGCCCTCACCGAAGAGGACCCAACGAGCAGGAAACTTCCTACAAGGAATTATTCTCCAGAGCCACTGAGCTCACGAAGAGCTCATGGCAACACGTCGCTGTAGAAAAACACAAAACGACGGTCGTGGCAGGCTCTGTTGCTTTTTTTGATCTGAAGAAGGAAAAGAGAAAGATCTAAAGTTGAGACTGGAAGTGAAGAATTTGTAGTGGCATGTGCCAAGAGAAAGTCACGTGCTCCAAGCCTTGCCTGTGCGGTGCTAGCGAGCCAGGTATCCCAGTGCATGCGAGGCGATACGAGGCTAACAGTATTAGATCGTTCAAAATGTTCTCCTATTAAGCTCCTGCTTTTACGCCGACTTCGCCTTCAATGGTACTTCGAACACTATCGCACCATTCCGGCCCTTACGAAGTTTCGTCCACCGCCCCAACCTCATCTCTTTGCCGGTGCCAGCCACAATGCACAGACCTTGACACTCGCCCTCTTTCTTGCCTCCATATTCGTTTGTGATGAGTCTTCTTCGCTCAAACACTGCCAAAGAATTGACAAAGCCTCGCACTGGGCCAGACAATGGATTGGCTGATGCAGTTGTCCCATTCTTTGCTGTATCAGTGTCTTCGTTCAAGTGTCCATTCCTGTCCTGTAACTCCCCATTGACGAGCCCAGTTGGCTCGTCCGCATCCTCTTCAACTTTTCCCACAGGTCCAAGAGGTAAAAGTGACCTTTTGTCATCGCTCAGTTTCCACGCACGAATCCAGCCATCCCAACTCCCACTCAAAACCACATCAGTGCCAGGCAAGGCGGCTAAAGCAGTGATAGCTCGGGGTATTGGCCTTCGTCTATCATCCTTCTTCAGCGCCTCGATGACCTTGGGGTCCACTTCCGACGTCACCGCTTCAAGCGGAGGCGGCTCTTCAACACCATGTGCGGTCTGGAGGGTGAAAACAGCCTTCTTTTTATGAATGCTCCAGAGACTGATGGAGCCGGAGTCAGTTCCGGTGACAAAGTTATGTGGCGGCAATGCAGCCACGCAATCCAGACTGCCGGTCTGGTATTCATCGTTTTTAGAACTGTCACCCAGAAACTTAGTGAGTGATTCATCCACAAACTTCCACCATAAAGCCTTTCGATCCCGAGCACCAACTGTGACGCATTGATCCACAGACACGGCCGAGACATCAACAATATGGTCTTGATGACCGAAGAGTGTCTCGACGTATGCAAGGCTATCCTCACCAGCCAAGCTGTAGGTTTTTAGAGACCGGTCCATGCTTGCGCTGAACAGTTGTTGACCAAAGCCAGTTCGATTAGCCGAGTTAGGTGCGAATGCAAGTCCCGTAACTCCATCTCTATGGGTAGTGAAAGTCTTCAACGGCCGTAGGTCTTCTGCTGACCAAATTATGAGCTTCTTGTCCGCTCCTCCTGTGGCCACAAATTTTCCGTCGGGGGAGGCTGCCACGGAGTAAATACGTCCGGTGTGGCCATGCTGCTGGGAATCAAGTGCCCTGATTTTGATGCCTCGGACATATGCCAGTTGCTTCGGCCGCCGTCTTCGTGAGGCCGTTGATTTTTGACCATCTGAGGAAGTGCTTGGTGGTTGAAGTTCCCATTTGATTAATGTCTTGTCCTTGCTCACAGTGTACACGTAAGGTTGACAAACTGCGACGCCAGTGGTTGACTCGGTGTCCGCGCGAAATGCTGTATGGGTAGCATTTGCAAAGTCCAAGTTCTCAGCAATCAGTCGATACTGTCTGCCCTTTGCCTCGTCTACATCCTCTTTCAGCCGTTGTGCAATTAAGTCCCTGTCGAGATCTTCGGCGTCAAACCCAGTCTCGTCTATTTCCTGCCTGATATTATCCAAGTATCGTTGTGCAAGTCTGACTCGGCGCTCGGCCGCAGTCTCGCCTTCTTCGGATGTAGCTTCTGACTCGTCAACGTCGCTCTCTGCTTGGATCTCGTCTTCGGATTCGCTTCCGGATATTGACTCGTCTCGCTGTCGATCTCGAATTCGTGGTTGTCTCCCTTTTCGACGGGACTGATCGTCTTGCTGCTCTCGTGATTTGTCGCCATTTGCAACCTCCCGCCTTTTCCTCGCTAGGCCTGCAACAGGATTTTCTCGTTTTCGCTTTCTCTGTGACGCCGGAAGCGTGAAGAAGGAAGACATTGGGACGTCTTCGCAGCCGAGTGCCACCAGAGAAAGCTGAATGTTGTATTGCAGCGCCGACAATATTTTTCTCCAAAAACTTTTTTGAGATGCGGGCAAATCTGCAGTTCCTAGCGCAGCCTCGTCGGAAAATTCCATCGCCGCACCTTCCTTGAAGGGAAGTGCCAGCCCAGCCTTGTGTCCTCAAGGCAGAGCTTCGCGTGCGTGTCGAGCAATTGGACTCATTTCACCCAGTTTCAGTCCTCGATCAACTCAACGACAACAGCCTGGATAGTCTTGAGCATTCTCTCATAGCGGATAAATCTTACACACTTGGAAGCATTGATTCGAGATCCTCTGCTGTTACATAACGCAATCTCCCGCATCTCAATCCTTCACTCAAAATGCAAGTCTTTTTCAATCCTGCACGGCAATCCAGCCAAATATCTAACAGCACTTCTCCAGGGAGGTCCTTATTGGTCTCACCGGCCGAGACTTCACCATTATTGCCGCGTCCAAAGCTGCCATGCGCGGCGCCACAATTCTCAAGACTACTGACGACAAAACCCGGCAACTCAACAAACACACTCTTATGGCCTTCTCTGGCGAAGCAGGCGACACTGTACAATTCGCAGAATTCATACAAGCAAATGTTGCTCTCTACTCAATGCGCAGTGAGACGGATCTGGGTCCTTCCGCAGTGGCCAGCTTTGTGAGAGGAGAGTTGGCGCGGAGCCTGAGGAGTCGGAAACCATATACGGTGAACTTGCTACTTGGGGGTGTTGATCCGATTACGAGGCAGCCGAGTCTTTATTGGTTGGATTATCTTGCGAGTAGTGTGAAGGTGCCGTATGCGTGTCATGGATATGCCCAGTGAGTTATCCTCCAGGAATTCTTGACCTCACGTAAGGACAAGGACAACCTGATTGACTGACGATGGTGGTGATTAGGTATTACTGCCTCTCCATTCTCGACAAACACCATCACCCAGACATTTCCTTCGAACAAGGCATGAAGATCCTGCGAATGTGTACGGACGAACTACAGCGACGCCTACCGATTGACTTCAAGGGCATGACAGTGAAAGTGGTGAAGAAAGACGGCATCGTGGATATGGAATATGACACTAGTAAACAGGTCTTGGCTGCTTAGAAGTGCAAAATGGGAAAATGAAAGGGACATTCACTTGATCATACCTTATGCATAGCGTCGGCGTAGAAAGAATCTAATCTCTGACTGGATCGAATTCAGAAAAAATGGGCTTCAATTTTTTGTTTGGATCGTATAGCAACACGATCTACAGTAGAAATGTCTTGCGTCTCGGCAGATACACATGTCTCTGGTTCGCATGGTTCTATTCCCTATTTTCCGTACCTGTGAGGGTGGGAGGTGGTCGCCCAGAATTTCTATCCTCGCACAAAAGCCCATTTTCCTTGCAAACGCCACGCTAGAAATTGTTCAGACAAGTAATGCTATCCATTGGGACTCCAGTCATCAGTAAGGGTCGCCTATCACGACCCTACGAGCTCTACTCGCCGACCATATCCTGGTCTATTGTAAGATTGGTGATAGCCACTCCGTCGTCTTGAACTGACGTTCTGAGGGTTGTGGCTTCTCTGCTGGTGGTGGTGGTGCTGTCGCCTGGCAGAGCTGTCTCGTCTCTGGCTTCCCTCACCATAGGGTTGGTGGTTATGATGGTTCCTTCGAGCCCGCTGACTTTGCAAATGCAGTCTCCGTCGAACCGATGGCTGGGGCGGACGTACATCTGAATCTTCCGATTCGGAGGGATCCTGAGTGTTTTCAGTTTCCGAGTGCTCTGATATATCTTCACCTTCATCAACCTCATCTTCGTCTTGATCCTCGGTTTCCTTGTCTTCTTCTTCCTCATCGTCGTCATCGTCACTCACGATAAACCGCGCCCCTCTTGACCTTCGCCGAGGCGGTGGTGGGAGGGCATGCTCGTAATCAGAGGCCTCCGTTATTTCATCGTAGTTGGTCTCCGCGTCGGATGCCTCCCAGGCGTTATTTCGCGAACTGTGGTCGTAGCCGACATATCTATCAACGGGATCGGTACTGTCTGCGGACACTTGGCTTCGAGCTTCCGACTCATTGTCGTAGCCTTCGCTCTGTGCCCAACGCCGGTTGTACGCGGTCATTGTGGACTCACTGTTGGTATCGTCCTCGTCCTCGTCCTCGTCTGCCTCAGTATCGATAAACCCATCCATGTCATCGTCCTCGCCATATTCCTCATCCTCGTCTGTCGCGTCTGTTATAGGGGACATTCCGCTATTGTAATAGTCGAACACATCTTCGTGCATGGGCCCGTCGAACTCGTGATCAATATCATCCTCCGCATCGAACTCGGACGAGCTGGCCACGTGCATGCTTTCAGAGTCGTAATCGGACTCGAGGCCACTACCTGATTCATAAATTTCATGAAAACCACAGCGCAGGCATTCCCCCTCTTCAAGTTCCCAGTGACATCGAGGGCAACGCACGACATTGTCCTCCGGATCGGGGATTCCTAGACCCCAGCGCATCTGCCGACGTGGTTCGCCCAGGAAAACGCCTTTGAAGAGACCGGGTCCGGCGCGATCTGCTGCCAGCTGAGCCGCCTCTGCCTCTTTGGCCTGCTGGTGTTCTTGGACAGTCTCATCTTCGGGCAGCAGCTCGGCTCGACCAATGAATATGTGGACCAAATCTCGGAGGACATAATTGGGAGATGGCTGTGCGCTGACTTTGGCTCTGCAGTCTGGACAATTTTTCTTGGTCCTCCTCCCGTGGGCTCCAACAAACCAGCTAGCAAGACACGTGTAGCAGTATGTGTGACCACACGAGAGGATGAACGGCTCGTACAAGGATCTCATGCAGATCTTGCAGACGGAGAGGTTGCGCATATCCTCGATATGTCGGAGAAATGTAGACAGACGGGTTACTTCGGTGTCTGCCATATCGGTTGGAGGTCACACGGTTGTTGTGAGAAGGGTTAAAGTTGAACTTCGAGCATCGGCGCTCAATAGGTTTGGTGAAGGTGGGGAAACATGGGCTAGCAGTGACGCGACGAATTGGCGACGAATTGAATAGGCAGCGAGGTGAGCTTGCACGCAAAGGTAGTTCAAGCGTGAAGTAATCCCGCGAGAAAAGGTCGGCAGCGCGTCCTCCAAAACATCCCCAGGGTAAGAGTTGAGTGACTGATCGGCCTGGCAAGTGGCTCCGTCTGCGGCCTCCCAGAGCCTGATAAAAGGTCTTGGCAGGTAGTGGCAATAGATGGAAGGTTTGCCGAAGGCTTTCCCAATATCTCAAATTTCTATACTGTCGCCTGGAAATCTGTGTATCAATCCTGCTGTCTTCATCTCTGTGGTCATGTCCAAGCCGGTCTCGTTCGGCTTTGGCAAGGCAAAGCCGGCCGTGTCATCTCCGGCACCAGGAACGATTTCCCGCAAGCCCCCCGCGCCGTCAAAAGGCTGGCCCCCACGAACCGCTCTGCGCCATGATTCAGACAACGAAGATGAAGAAGAGCCAAGACACGAGTCAGTCTCTGGCTTCTCGTCAAGTGGTGCCATTCTAAGTCAACCCCTACAGGATTCAAAAGAGAAAGTCATAGCGAATGCCGGTAATGCCGACTGGCGCAGACATGGACGAAAGAATTTACTCCCTGTGGAGACTCGAGCACAACAGGAGAGCGGCGGTGGCGTTGTGATGGTCGAACGAGATGAGGTCAGCAAAGCCAGTGGGCTGCAGTTCGCGGACAAGAGCGAGCAAGGCAGGGACCAGCAGACAAATGGCGAACAACAGTCACCGCAGAATCATACTGGTGATCAACCGAGGCAGCTGACAGTAGATGAAGAAGCTTTACAGGCTCTTTTGGACAATGGACCAGGCAAACCAAGATCGAATGCCGTCATAACACTGCAGGGGAACAGGCAGCTTTCGCCCCAGGATGAGACACAAGATTTCAGGGACGATGTCGCTTCGAGGCCGGACTCGAGCACTCTAGAAGAGTACGCCGCCATGCCGGTGGAGGAGTTTGGGATGGCTATGCTGAGAGGCATGGGTCAAAAACGTCGCGCCAACGGGGAGATTATTGAGCTAACTCCGAAGGCTGAAGACAACCCCCAAAAGTTCCGCAGGCATGAAGGGTTTCTGGGAATTGGAGCAAAAGCCGCACCTGGGTCGGACATCGAGTTAGGCGCATGGGGAAAGGCTGATATGCGAAAGAATACCAGGGGACAGGGATTCTTTACGCCATTGATGCGCGAGAACAAAGCCACAGGGGAACGTATCTCGGAGGAGGAGTTCCAGAAAAGGTTGAAAGAGTCCCGAGCCACCCAGCAGGAGGAAGATTGGAGGCAGCGCAGAGACCGCAATCTGGGGATCAGTGGACGAGAGCGGCATCGAGAGAAAGACCCGCATAGAAACGGGGACGATGACTACCGCGAGCAGATGAATTCATTCTCTCGCTCCAGCTCGTCAAGACGGGATCGAGATGGTCATGAAGATTCTCGATCCAAGAGGGACAGAGATGACAGAGATCATGACGGCTCTCGATCAAGACATGATGAAGGAAGGTCACGGGATCGGAGACAAAATGAGGATAATGATGATGACTACGATAGCCGTCATCGACCCAAGCATCGAGACCGCCATCGCGATGAAGATAGGTACGATTCCAGTTCGTCCCACCGAAGTTACAGGGACCGGGATAGGGATAAAGACAGAGACCGAGACCGTGACAGAGATAGATACAGGGAAAGAGAGAGCGATCGCCGCCACTGGGACAGGTGACTTTGACTCATGTCTCGGAACGATATCATATGCTCAAGAATGAAGATCTGTGCGCCCAGGCAATATGAACGCCCAGCATGACCATTTTTCCCACGTAAAATCACAACAACAGCGCCGCCACCGCCATCGACTCATACCATGACAATATCTCTCTCCATTTCTGTGTCCTTCTCCTTGCGCCCACTAGTTAGCAGGGAGCCGTTCAGTCCACCCGCCGCCGAGACGCCAGCGATCTCGTCCATCTCCTGCAATGTGTATTCGATCAAGTAGCTCTCATCGACCAACTCTTCCATCCTCTTGTAATGCCTTTCCGTGTAGACTTCAAGCGCCCTCAAAAGCTCCTTCATACCATCTGCGGCACCCCGCCCTCGTGTTCGGCTTCCTCCTCCCATCATCTCCTTCCCGCTCGTGACAGCGCCAAGGAGCTTCTTGTCCCGGGCCATTTCGACGAACACGTCCTTCGGGTACGACCGCAGCAAGCAGTTCAGGACTCTCTGGGCCACGGGCGCTGTCCGTGCATTGGTGTTCCAATCCCGCACGTTCTCCAGTAACTGCCAGAGCTGCGTCCGGTCCAGGGATGCGAGGATGTCGTCCACCGCTTTCACACCCATGATGCTGCTGCTGCTGGCGTCATCATCCTCGTCCTCACCCTTCCGGGATTCGGATGAGTTGACCACATCCTCAAACACACGCAGTAGTCGACCGGGGTGGCCCAACGCCAAAGAAAGCGTGATGGCTTCGCGGTAGTTCTTGCTGAATATGTGATTCTGGAGTAATTGGTCTTGCTCAATCCGCTGAGTTGCGCGTTGAGACGCCAATAAGGTAGACTGTAGAGTGGTATCCCGCCAGAAGGTCAATGTTGCATCGGCGGCGCCAGATATCAGTGAGTAAGGATAGGATTGAGGGTGGGACTGAGTACTCTTTTTGGTCGAGGGGGCCGAGGGAGATGTTGTCCGCTGGTACGAGTTCGGAGCGACAAGTGCCCACACACGATCGGTGTGGTTGTCGAGTGTAGCTAGGAGATGATCGGAGTCGGCGGCAGAGTAAGGGGACCAGAGTTTGACGAGGGTGTCAGAGGATGCGGATGCTATTAGTGGTTGATTGTTGGACTGGGTTTGAGAAAGGCGCGCATCTTCTACAGACTCGTCATCTTTGGCTTTGGACTCAGGTGGTGGAATCCAAACAACTTTCAATACGGAATTGCTGTGCCCTTCAAAAGTTTGAAGACAGGTATAGGTCGAAAGCGACCACACCTTAATTGTTCGGTCTCCGGAACCACTCACAAGCAATCCACGAGAGCCGCTTGATCCGCCATCTGGGAGTGAGAGAGGAGGTGTCCCTGCCGGAGAGAAACGAACTGACCAAACCCCTCGTTTATGACCGCGCAGAATAGCCGCCACGGCTCCGTCTTCCAAAGACCATACCTTGATTGTGCGATCCTGAGATGCTGAAGCGAATAATGGTGAGATTGGCGATGTATCAATTGCGTTGATATCCTTTTCGTGGGCAACTCGCGTGAACAGGGCTTTTGTGCCTGTTTGTGGTTCTGTTGCTAACTGATCGTACTTGAGTTTCGCTGTGTCCCACCGTTTGATCGTCTTGTCTTGTGAGCCTGTCAATAGGAATGCTGGTGGGTGCGTTGCTGGATTTCTCAACGCCGGACCATCTGTTGGTGGACTTCTCGGTAAGGCGATAGCCCCTAATGACTCTGCATGTCCAGCGAAAACAGCAAAGCACCCGTACGATGATGAGGCAGGGTCCAATCTCCACAATCTTGCAGTATTGTCTTTTGCACCGGTCGCTAACCAGTAGCCTGACCAATCGACATCTAAGCAAATGATAATGTCTTCATGGCCTTCGAGCAATGCAACGTCATTTCCAAAAGAGTCGACGGCTTTGGCGGTGTTAGAATTAATTTGTTTGCCATCGTCTCGAATAGAAATCAACCTGAGACTCTCCGCATTGGTAGCAAGTGCTAGCAAGGATCTGTCGGGGCCGACGCAAGCCATGTCAATAACCTCGTCATAGTTTCCAGCAATTGTCCGAGTCACTGGCAAAGTTCCTAGTGACTCTGACGTTGGCAGATTGTGCAGAGCAGAAATACTCTGCAACTTCATTGTTTGATCTTGATGGATTGACAGAACTGCATCGTCCTCAACCACAGGGATGATGGCTGTGATAGCATCATTCTCAAGCCCCGGTTTCCGCTTGGTAGTAACTTCACGGCCTGTGGCGAGATTCCAGATTCTGACTGCGCCGTGGTCCCCCCCAGCGTAGCAAAACCGGCCATCCAGGAGAAAACCTGCAGTTTCTAGCACTTCCAGAGCTGGAATAACCCTTTGCTGTTTCCATGTTTGGCCATCCCATAAGATTACTGTCCGATCTCGGCTTGCTGATAGGAGGAGTTGTTGTTCTTCGGAGTATTCCAGGCTTCGTACCACACTGACATGTGAGTCAAGGGTGGCGCTGGATGTACGAGTAGCTAGATTCCAGACGCGAATTTTTCCATCTTCACCCCCGGATGCAAGATAAATGGACCGAGCCGGCGATAGTTCGTCGACATCCATTTGGTCTTCTCCGCGACTCTTTCGCTTACGGCTCGTCTTGGAATTTGATGGACTGGTTGACTGTGATTGGAAGAAGTGGAGCGCAGAAACGACCCCGCCATGGCCGTGAAATGTATGTGAAACATAACCTCCTCTGAGATCCCATACCTTCACTGTTCCCTCCGCGCCTCCCGTTGCCAGGAGTGATCCGGTGGCATCAATGGCCGATGACACAACTGGGGTGGTGTGTGGTTTAACTGTTCGCATAAGTTCTGCGACTATTGTGTCGGATCCTTCCAGAGGTTTGAGCGAAAATATCCGAAGCGAGAGAGACCGGGACGCGATCGCCAAATAGTTCGATTCAGGAGCCAGGCACAGACTCGTAACCGGTTCCCCGTCCCCTTCGATACGACAAAGTACCCTGCTCGTCTGTACTTTGACAATCAAAACGCCCTCGTCAACACAGGTTGCGATGAAAGAACCGTTTGCACTGTGCGAGACATCGCCGCCGGTCAAAATGGGCTCAATGGTTTTTGCAGCCTCAAAGGTGGTTTTATGGTGGATTTTTGTGGCCATCGTTGCTGAGTATTTGCATCCTTTGAATCATAACATGGATAGAGGGGTCTTAGGGTACATTTATCGTGGTGGCGAGGGACATATCAACGTGAGGAAACATCAAGGCTGACTATGTTAAGATACTTTGAAATTTCACAGGAAAAACTTAAAGAGATCAAACTTCAACCAATTGCGTGTGGCGGATATTTAAGGTTTACGCTAGCGCTTGGCACCACAGCCTCGTCCGCCTGATTTCAGCCTCGTCTTGAATGCGGTCTCCCGTCATTCGGTATGCAAACAAATTTTCAGGCTGTCAGAACATTTTCCCCGCTGGAACATCAAGTACGAAACACAACACGCTTTATATAAAAATGGCCTAAGACGGAAGCACTCCTGGTTTGCAGGGGAAGCACTGGCATGGCATGAAGACCAGAGGGGAAAGAGTACGAGGCAATGGCAAGCCAATATCTCTTATCGGCTGAAGAGGTCGAAGGCTTCTTTTAACCATATGAGTCTTCGCAGGCATCTGGCTTCTATCCTCAAAACTGTTTGTAATAATGAGGTGGCTCCGTCGCGGCTTGCGTAAAGAAGTCTTCTCGTCTGCTCCGCCTCAGACAAGATGGGTGGTCGAAGGAGGAATCAGTAGGCTCTCCCCTTGTTGCGCAATCTGTTCCAAGGAGACAGAATGGACAGTAGTGTGTGTCCACAGCCCCCGGTCCGTCCTGGCGAGGAGAAGCCAGTTCAGCAGCGAAGTGGAAGAGCTGACATAAACAGAGCACTTTTCGATCTTCATCTCATCCCAACAATCCAGTCCAGATCATATACGCTTTGTCCTTCCGAACTTCGGGTTTTATTGCTGGGGTCCAGCGAAACCGAACCCGAATGTGACCTTACCTGTGGTGATTGGAACATGGTCCAGTACGGGGGGCGACTTGAAAAGGCATAAAGTAACATATCAAGACGACCTGGACGCGAAGGGACGCGTGACTGAGGCGCCCGCCGGCAACGAGACGGCTATGATGGAAAGTCTGCGTACAGTGTACCCGACCACTATTCTTTACACCCACGAAAACACGGTAAGGGCGACCGAACTCTATGAGCTCATCGACCCTGAAAGTTCATCAGAGAAAAATTCGCGTTGAAGTGGACATCACAACGCTTTGGCTTGATGTCACTGTCATAGCGGCTAACGATGCTCTCTGTGAAGAGGCGGGGTCGATGGAGCGGTTCACGGTGCTGCCGGCCCTAGATTGCTGCAAGAATGTGCTAAGCTAGGTGGATGTCAAACAGGTTCCGCTAAAATCACTGATGCATACAACATTCCATGCCGAGCGTGAGGTGGAGGCAGACGGCAAGATTTTCAAGTACGAGACTCGCCTCGTCGACCGTGGCGTTCTGCAAGAGGTGGAAGTGGACTATTATGAGACCTTCGCTGGTGTCAGTAGGGCCTTGTCGCTCCGCATCCTATTTCCTCTGGCTGCCTTCTATGGGTGGTGCGTACATTAGATTGATGCTGTCATGCCTTCCTCACTTGCAGATTGGAGAGATGGGGTTCAAAGCCGTATTGACAGGATCTATGTCCGGGAAGAACTGAGGCCCTCAAGCAAAGATTGAAATATTCCCTTGATCGAGAGAGAAGAGCTCGTTCGTGTTTCCTCTGAGTCAACGGTAGGATCTCAACGCCTCCGCCTTTAATCATCATCATAATTAACTTTCTCTTCTAAGTCACCAGGGGTGGGGAATGGCGGCACCGTGGCGAAGAATGTAGACCCAAAGGATGGGCCATGCCTACCGAAAGACGCAAAGACCTCTATCTTGGTCGCAGCTTTCCCCGGGAGGACAACTTCCACTTGTTCGAATGAACCATGGGCTTGACATGTATCGATGAATTTCTTCATGGTTTTCCACCAAGCTCCGAAACGTGCAGTTAAACAATTGTGCTTCGACGGGTCTTGGGGATTTGGATGGTCAATACTGTCGAGCTGAGGTCTACCTAGAAGAGGGTTGTGCGGCTTGCGGTTTGGTGGAGGGACACAAGACAATGGAGCCGTGCCAGCATTGGATCTTGGTGGCAACATCGGACCACGGGGATCTTCAAGTCAAGAAGGGGCACAAGAAAAGCAAGACGGCACTAGGAGCCCCCAAGGCAAGACTGACGACGGGAGGGTGGGAATGAGCATTGCCCATACACACGTGATGGGGGCATGCTTAGTCTACTTCATCATAAGTATTAACGATGGGCCGGTAAGTGAGAGACGAGAAACATGAGGATGGTGCTTACAGGTCCGGCAGTGAGATATTGTTGTCCCTCAAAAGTCTCACAGACCCGCATTCCTCGAGATGCTGATCATGGACGAACACTGGGGGTCGCAAGGAAATATACCTCGAGCGAAGCCATGAATGATACACTTGACCGACCGGAAATGGGCCTCGAACGGGTTGTCGCTCGAATGCCCAAAACTGCGGTTTTCACGCACTCGTCCTCGATCTAAGTCTCTCCTCTAATGGCAAGCAGCGACAAGCTGCATATATTCCTTGATCATTTACAACACTGTACAGACAAGTCATTTGTTTGGAAACGAGGAATTATCATGACAATGACAACACCAGTGACCAGTAAGCCATCGGCCTACAAAATGAATAGACTCGGTGGGCATACATCTCACCAGGTTTTTCTCCAGTCTTGTCTTGCTCAGTGTCCTTGTGGATGAGCCCTCGCTTGGCCCGTCAGCGTGCAATGAAACCACCGTCAACCTGTAAGAAACTGCCCGTCATCCAACTCGCGGCATCACTGGCCAGCACGAGGACTGCCTTTGCAACATCTTCCGGGGTTCCGAGATGAGGCCAGGGGCTTTGTTGGTGGAGCATTTCATTCGTCTCCTTCTTCTCCAGGAAGGGCCTGACCATTGCTGTGGCCAGGAAGCCTGGGCAAACTGCATTGACGTGAATTTTGTGGGGAGCATAGTCGACAGCCACCTGACGTGTGAGGTTGACAACTGCTCCTTTGCTTGCACAGTACGAGGCTTTTTCGAAGATAGGTCAGTCCTTTCCCGTCCAGAGCCATCGTGGACTGGCGACACAAGGAGCGGGCGTACTTACGTTCCAAGGCAAGACCGACTTGGCCTCCGATTGAGGCGATGTTGATAACCCATCCACGTTCTCCCGACGGTAGGGGTTCTTGCTTCATCATCTGAGTGATGGCGAACTTCATGCCGAGATACACGCCTCTGGCGTTCACGGCCTTGCCACAAAATCAGTCAAATCACGCAGCTCCCAGAAGGGTAATCGTCTCTCCCCCTACCATTGTCTTGTCATAATTGCTGACAGGTTCATCGACGATATTAGCCAGCCCCGTGAAGATACCGGCATTGTTTACCATACTGGTCGAGTCCGTCAGTCACCATGGCTTCTATCAGGAATTTCGTGGTTGATTCAACGGATCAGAGCACGAGGGATTATCCAGCAAGGAAGAACCAAAACGATGTGAGGACAAACATACATATCAAGTCTACCGTAGGTCTTAACCGCTAACTCGACGAGACCTTTGACATCATCTTCCGAGCTAGCGTCTGCCCGTTGGAAGATGGCCTTGCCTTGCCCATGGGTTTTGATGATTAGGTCATGGGTCGGAGTCAGGTCTTTCTCGTAGCCGCCAGCTCGAATCTCAGGTGTCAAATCACTGCAAACGATAGATGCCCCTTCTGAGGCCAGCACCAGCGCTATAGCCCTCCCATTGCCCGACGAAGAGCCTGTGACGATGGCGACGCGTCCAGTAATGCTACATACTGAATCAGCCATTCTTCCGCCACCTACGACGTCAATTTTACCAACCTCAGGATGTTGGACATGCTGTAAGTTGGGACGGAGAACTGTTAGGTGTGTCAACAAATGTCTCAACTGCTAGGCCTGGATCTGCCGGTATTTGTTTTTCGCATGCCATCTCTTCAATTGCCATAGTCATGTGCATGGATCCATTCGACCGTGGAGAAGCTCCTCAAGTGGCGCCTGTTTGACACGTGTCGAGAGCGGTACCGCTACAGAGCAGACTTTTTCCAATTCGTTACGATAAGGTTCGCATCTGTGCAGGTGCAAACAGACAAGAAGATGGCTCCGAGACTTTGTCTTGCAGTGACAAGAGGGGTTCCTCCAACTGCTGCAGGTGGAGGCTGCAGAGGGGTTGCTGAGATGTTGAGATATCCAATGGGATACGCTGCGGTCCCGCACTATGCATGCCGTCGGCCGGAAGTGTACTCTCGATATGTCCCTTCTAGCCAGGTGTGTCCGGGGTATCCGTACATCCCCGCTACCAAGCAGACGACACACCAAAGAACTGTTCCCTCCTCGCTTGGAGAGGTGTAGTAGTGCTAGTTGTGTTTTTAGCGGTCGCTGACCACGCCGGGTGCCCCTGCTGCACATGACGTCTCTCAGCCTCGCTGACTTGGTTACTTGGCGCTATCTTATACATCTGCCCACGGCTTGTGGATGTTTTGACAAAGGTAGCTGGCGGCACCGCAGTAAACAAGATGAGTGCTTACCGAGAGATAGAGCGCCATAATGACCGCCACGGACGAAAGAAGAACCGCGGAGTGCCCAGCAGAGGTCCAAACCCCAACGGCTTATCTATGCGCTCGAATCCCGACAATGTGTCTTTCAACTCGGAAGGAAGTCAGTTTACAAAGCCATAATTAACCATTCCGCTAGCAGTCATGCCGCGCGAAGACATCTCCTTTCAGACGGCCGACAATGTCGCCTTGAGAGGGTGGTTTTACAAGCCTTCCGGTGACGGAAGCGTCCTACCGTGCCTAGTTATGGCTCATGGGTTTTCGTCCTTGAAAGAAATGGATCTCAATACCTTTGCCGAATACTTTACATCCCACCTCCCACTGTCTTGTTTGGTCTACGATAACCGGGGATTCGGTGACAGCGATACAAAGGAGGGACAACCCCGTCATGAGATCATCCCGGCCCAGCAGACGAGTGACTACTCAGATGCAATCACCTATGCGCAGTCGAGGTCGGATGTCAACCCTGACAAGATTGGTGTCTGGGGCAGTTCCTACAGCGGAGGACATGTCCTTTGGGTTGGTGCAGTTGATCGCAGGGTGAAGGTCGTTCTCAGCCAGGTGCCCTGCGTTGATGGCTGGTCCAACTTTCATCGACTCATCCGCCCGGATTTTGTCGCGGGTTTGAATAAGCTTTTCTAAGAAGGTGCGCAATCATCTTTGCCGTCCCTCATATTTGTCCTCATTCGAGGTGCGCAGATCGGCTGGCCAGAGCTGCTGGCAAACCACCCGGCTCGTTGCCCGTTGTGGACGAAGACCCTCATAAACCATCTGCCTTGCCTACCCCAGACAGCTATCAATTCTTCACGAGCTGGGGCAAGAATAGCAACTGGAAAAACAACGTGACTGTGAAAACGTACGTACCACAGGTGGTCATTGATGCTGCACAATAATATTAACAGGCGTTTCAAGGATCGAGGCATTTCGCGAGTATAATCCGTCTGCACACATCCAGCACATATCACCCACACCTTTACTCATGACAGTTGCGGAAGATGACGTGCTCACGCCGACCGACCTGGCCCTAGATGCCTATTCAAGGGCCTTGGAGCCTAAGCAGCTGCATATCCTGCCCGGTGGGCATTTTGATGCTTATTCTGGGCCCAATTTCGAAGCGAATGCTAGTAGGCAAGCGCAGTTTTTGAGGGAACATTTGTGTGGTTAGAATAGACAAGCGAGAGACTCGATTGTAATAGAAGGTACGAGTACGAGGTATAAGTGCGGAACCGATACAGTCATCATATATACTGCCAAGGGTGGCACCGCGATGGATGAGGCAAGAAGGATAGCCCTGGGTTGCTCCGGCAAGCAGGACAACTTCCCGATCGGTCTTCTAGAAATTATCATCAAATAACAGCATTGCGTCTTTTGCCCTGGTCGATCACCAAGCATGGCCTCTTGGTCATTTCCTTGCCGCTATCGTCAAGCAAGCCTACCGCTGCCGAGGAAGCCCTTGAGGTATCTTATGGACGTCATCTTCGATCTCACGTCTCGTCTACGATGCCCCTGGAACTCCAGTTTTCTCTCATCGAATCAGGCGGTTTTTATAAGCTTGTAGTACGTACTGGCATCCTTGCACTGCCGGTTTTTGCCGCTATCACTCCGGGCGCCTCGGACCTAAGACTACCCAGACAAGCCCCTTTATCCGTCAACCCGACATTAATTTTCTCCTGGTCCGTTTGAAGAACATATTGATATTATACGCTTCTGCTTTGTTATGGAGGCCATTCTGAGACTTTCTCTCGTGGACGACTATAACCTCCTTGCTTGCCTCAATGACGGAACCGTTCCAATCCCACGCGCCCAAAAGGCAGAGGAGACAATACCAGAGCTGCGATAATTGTCGCAAGGGCCGGCGAGCTTGCAACGCAGTCTCTTTGGGCATCAACCCCTTGCAGCCCAATAGCGCGGGTGCAGGTACTGCAGCGATAGCCTGCTCAACATGTCAACGATCGAAGAAGGAATGCACGTTCAGATGGCTCCAGGAACTTCCTCGTGGGACGCTACCAGAATGTCTAAAGCAGAAATTCAGCAGGCGTTATCAGCCTGTCAGATACAGCGGAGGAGACCTCCCAGCCTCTCGAACAGCATCACAGTCCCATCCCCAGAATGTTGCTGGTTCCGATGAGATGGCCGAGAACAGAACAATCCCCGCCAGCGGAGCAGTTGTGAGGCATAAAAATGGTCCACGGCAAACCCGGATCGCGCCGCGACGTGATCAGCTGGAACCCAACATCATTGACCAGCAAGCAACTAGCTTGTCCGAGCAGGGCATGGGCAGTGCCCCCAACATCACAGCGGACTGTGCCAACTGGCTGGAAAATGTTGTGATTTCAACTTCTCCCTTTGACTACAGTCAAGGACAAGAGTTCTGGTGGTCTGGGCCTCCCAATTTCAGTGACCAGCAACCGAAGTTTGACGATAGTGGCCAGTCCGCGACTTTTGCGAGTTGGGACTCGCCTTTGTATGGCGCGCTGCTCGGCTATCCTCAATCAAACAACGAAGGCCCTGACTATGGCGTGGATGAGTTGAACCGCGACACGTCCTACCCCCTGAGCCACACGGACACCGTCCATCACTCACAGGCATCGGGCGACTTGGCTTTGCTCACCGATACAATGTTGGAAAATAATCCGTCTTGTCCACCGCAGATTTCGGACGACGTCACATTCAACATGCGAGAGTTTGACCTTACGCAGTCCTTCAGCAAAGGCTTGATTTCCGATAGACTGCTGAGCATTTACCATGACAGTTTTGAGAATTCGCTCTCTTGCTGGGTCACAGAGTCAAATTGCCCATACAAGATACCAAGGCTGCTTCTGGGGAGTCCAACCCAAAGGAGAAAGCTTCTTTCCTATCAGGCGAGTACGCGCTTTTATCAAAGGGTCAGAAGGCTCGACAACGCTTTTTCTCCTCTCCGCAGACAGCCTCTAAGCCGTGGAGATTGCGCCAGGGCATCGAAGGCCCTCATGCTTGCAATCATGGCATTTGCTAGCCAGTGGACCCATTCTCGTGACGGACACCAGCGTTCGCGCTCCCTCTATTCAGAAGCAGACGTCAACCAGCCTCATCAGACATCTGGAAAGGACTTTTCGGATATCAATGGAAAGGATCCTTACGACTTCGAACGCCTCATCCGGCAGAGCCTCTGGAATGAGGCTGTTGACGCTGTCCACTGTTGCTTTAATGTCGATTCTTTTGAGCTCATATTTGCCCAGATAATATTTTCCATCACGGAGAGACCTTCTCACTTTGACAAGATGGAAGGTGACGAGCATTCGAGGTTTGTCTCTTCTCACGGCAATGTATCGTCAATTTCGTCCGCGTTAGCTAGCAATCCGGGGGACCAAGTTACTCCATCCGCAGATCGAAGAAGAAAGGCTACGGTTGGTAACGAAAGATACCTTGAGATTGCACTACATCATCTGCTCGCTTGGAAGAGAAGAATCTCCTCAGCCAGGCGGCAGCAGACAGTGCGAGCTCAGTTTCAATCGGGAAATACTCCGACCTTATCACGGCCGATTTTGCTGGAAGATTACCAGGCGTTTGACATGTTCTTCTGGTTCGGTGTCATGTGCGACACGACATCGGCCGTTCTGAGCGATCGCGTGCCTGTAATACCTGACTCGGACTCGGTTTTCAGTCTCGACGATGGGCAAACAGCTTCACGTCCGGCCGGCGTCGACGTCTCACTCGGGAGACACAACCAACCCCAGAGAGACACTACTTCAAAAGCCAGTGTTTGGGGCTCTTGTCTGACGAATGCTCTGCCCTCCTTATTTGGGGCTCCTGCCGTGCGATGGCCGTGGCCGCAAGGAGTCGCCGAAAGAATGCTGCAAGCAGCAACACCGGTCAAGGTTCTGTTGTGGAGGAAAATTACTGTCATCAAGGCCCTCCTGTCCAAAGAGACGACGCCGCCGTCCGTCATCGAGAGATGCATCGCGGAGACATTGAGGGTGTACGAGCATTGGCAGGAACGCTACGGCGAGTTCATCCTGGACTGCATCTCAAATCACGCCCACTTGTCGTTCAAAATCCAGTCCTGGTACGTCATCCTTGCCAGTCACTGGCACCTAGCTGCCCTCCTTGTCGCCCGTTATATCGGCTTGGTGGACGTGACCTTGAGGTCAGAGACCGTTCAGCGCTCGCTGCGGCAGTCATCAGCACTGGTGTTGGAACTGCAGAAAGCCAATGCCTATGCGATTGCCAACTTAGCTAGAGTGGCCAAGCCGCAAGGGTCCAATCTATCGAACCACGAGCAGCCTTTCCACTACGCCAGTGCATACGGGGCTCTCGTCACAGAACCTTGGCCGGAAGTCCTCAACCAGACTCTGACGAGGGCGTGTGAAGTGCTGTTGGTTTGGCTATCATCCACCAAACAACCCAATCCCGCTCCCATTTCGACTACCTCGCAGCAGGTCTGGATTTCCGCCAATACCAGCGTGTCGGAGTTGACCAGGCATTCTACAAGTTGCATTGAAGCTCTCAATCTGCTCGGAAGCAGCTCTCAGCTAGCACAGTTGGCTGCATTCTCTCTCGAGACGCGATTGAAATCTTTGAACGAGCCTCTTCCCGCTCCCCAAACCTTTGATCTCCGTTGGCAGGACTTCGGGTACGATAACCTGGTCTATTGATTTATCCCTCGCACACAGATCGAGCCCGGATTTCACGTGCGAGAGCTATGTAGCCCTGATCCAGGGAGACGGCCACCACATTTCCAACCGTGGCTGAAAAGTTTTGAGCCTTATTGTCCACCAGATTTGCCGGTGTCGTGGTAAACGAGCACGAACAGAACCAAATCCTTGTATTGGGTTATCACTATGTCTCGGGCTGGCTGCGAACCCGAGTCTTCAGCCGCTTCAGTATGTCCTTGTGCTGCCAAAAGCTTTACCTCCTATTGTTTGGCTATCCTAGCGGATTCAAAGCAGCCTGTTGTTATAGCCGTCAGTTTCGAACCATTTCGGTTCTAGTATAGCCACCATCACAGTAGCAGGGAGCAATGTCGCTCGTCCGACAATTCAGGGATATCACCTGCTGGGTCCAGGTGTGACGGTCACGGCTTCGGAGAGGCGTGCAGGTCGATGCTGGCATCCATTGAGTTGGCTCGCATTTTACGATGTTACGTTTCGAGTTCGCATTCTCTAGCGTCGCCGGCCTCCTCATCGTGAGCCTTAACTTATGCACCGTTAGCTATAGATGTTACCAAGGGTGGCCTTTGGAGGGCGGGACCGCAACGATCGCAATGGTCCCCCCCTACATATATCCCTCTACCGTTTACCGTCCCCAGCAGGGAGAACGGCCGTACGAGCACATTGTTGAACGGATCCACTCACCGAGCCACTTCCCCTAAAAGGCCAGGACGACAGGTCCTATTGCTCAACGGTGATCATGTTAAACGTCTATTAGATGCTTCTAGTATATCATAGGGCACACGGACGCTGCAACCGAAAACTGTGTTTTCCTTCCATTGGCGCCTCGTCCTCCAAGTACAAATACAGGGGTATTCTCGATATATCTGATCGACCCCATTGAGAGAGATTCACCCAGTCCCCAGACTCCTTCGCCATGGCACTTGACATCAGGGGGGAAGACCGCAATCGTCAGTGGCAGACGCCCAGGCAAATGGACAGCTACTCATGATACCCGGATAGTATCACCCTTGGTCTGCTCGTATCTATCAACGAGTAGTTTTGCTGAGCGGTCGAGGCTTCATATATTTGATGGAGATCAGGGCTCGATATAAGAAGAACGGGAACACGGTGGTTACATGTTAGATGCTAGGGGGCCGCGTTGGACCTATGCCTCTCTGGGGAAGTCATAACTCGCGATGTCGAGACCGCATTGATAGCCAGTAAGCCCCGAAGGCAGCGACTAGAGTTATGAAGGTCAACGGCCCAGTGATCACGAGCCACCGCCAGAGTACTTGTGGTGAATACGATCCGGCCCCATATTGCGGGTCCCAACGGATAACGTCGGCGCCAAAAAAGGTCTGCGAATTATCAGCAATGCACAGCGGATCAAGCGCTCTTCATCGGCATTATGCTTACTGAAACGAACGTTGCCGGTAAATAGACGAGCGTCACCATGGTGAGGATGCGCAATGTAACCACCTCCTCCGCACCCTTCTTGGTCAACTCAAGGGATCGATCGGAAGTTTGGGCGTGCATGAGTTCCAACATCTGACCTCTTGTTAGCCTTTACTGCATAATGGGGTTTGTCGTGAATTACCAGCCCTTTCCGTTCTCTAGCCAAACTCGTGAGTCGGGCCCCCCATGATATCAAGCCTTCAAAGTCACGGATTATATCCTGCAGCTCACTGTAGAAGTCTAGGGTGGCTTGTACTACCTCATGTGCGAAGGGAAACTCTTTGTGAACGATCAACTTCTCGTAAAAGGTGCGAAGAGCCTGTAGTATCCGAAGATTCGTCTCTAGTGCGGCGACAGCCTCTGAAACTCTCTCTCCATAACTTTGGACCGTCTTTAGGTCGGCTTTGGTGTACGTTGCCTTTGAATCCGTCAGAACAGCTGAACACGTCTAGAATCGAGTTAGTTAGATGTCACTTTCAAGAAGTCTGGGGAAAGCAATGCCTTGTTTTGAACGAGTTCCCCTAAACACTGGAAATAGGCCCACCACGACTCCCCGGCCCAGCGTGCAAGGGTAGTATGAACTTTGAGGCTCGAAATGTAGCTTTCAGCAGGGGTTCCAGATGAACGTCTTTCAATGTCATCAGAGTCGAACGTCGCTTTTGTGACAGAATGGCTGAGATGTCCCTCAGGAGTGGTGATTATCCAGACGGTCGTGCCGTGAACGGTGTCCAGCTTATGATATATCGCGGCATTATATATAGACCAGTCGCGGGCAGGATCACGAAAGCCAACATTTGCGAGGTCGGCGCCCTTTAGATTAAAGGAAATTTCGTAATGCCTGCCAGATCTACCAAGGTCGGGTGCCTCTAATCCCGGCAGCGGCTTTCCAAAGGCTAGTTGGCCCCAGAAAGAATCGTGTCGGACCCCGGTCAAGGTATTGCGTTGGGTGAACAAGAAGAGCAAGTTCAGATGCTGCGCCGGCACCTGATGGTGCGTGAAGACGCGGAAGAGCATTCTTTTCGTGATTCGAAGGGCATTGGCTTGAGAAGACGCCACAAGGAATCTGCCAAACAGTCAGCACAGGTACCGTTGGTGCGGTCTCATGCATACATGAACCTGCTTCGTGGATCCGCCCTTGTTATGACCTCTCCAGGCGGCATCAGAGCCGATTCATCGCCTAGCTGCTCTGCTAATCCTACTTCATCACATACATTTCGGTAACTATAATCTGATCTGGTCAGCGGCACTCGACGAAAGCAAAAGCAGACCTACTGCCGCGGTTTGCGTGGAGATCAGCAAACCTGACATGCACGGATGAGAGGTCATCGTCGCAGAGATAACCAATGGCACTTTCGGGCATCTCTCTGTGTGGCGCGAGCTGCCTAGCATTCTTCGGATCCATGAGATTCGCGGGATACAGATCTGCCTTGAAACAGGAGATTATCAATTCAGGTGGAACGCACATGGCTAAAGTCGGGGATTTTGCTCCCGAGCGGCAGGTAGTACTGTGAGAATGCTGTGTTGTATGGGTCTGTGCCGACTCGGACCTCTGTTTGTAACGACTTTTGATAGCCTCTTGGAGTCTGTAGGACGCATTTTGGCCTTCCCCGTATATCAAAGGCATGTGGACGTCGAAAATCCCAAGAAGACAATAGGCAGCGTCCTCCAGCTTTGTGGTTTCGCGATGTGATGCCCATGACAACCTGTCGCGGACGGAGCATGCATCTAGTCGCCGTTCGCCCGAGAGAACGGGGGCAGGAATCCCCGTGCATTTCGATAGAAGTTCCTGATGTTCTTTTTTACTTCCTCGAGGACGCCATGCCTGGTCGTAGAATTCGACCCGTCTTGGGGCTATCAGCTCTTGTAATGTCCAGCCCCTTTTGTGCCAGCGGCAACGTGCAAAGCCGGTATGCAGATCTGCAGTATCTGGAAGGTCGGACAAGTAGACAAAACATATTGAAGCCTCCTGATACCATCTATACATGGAGTTGATGGCCTCACTGAGCTCCGCGCTGTTCGTTTTATCAATGCAGCAAGTATCTATCCATACGTATCCCAGACGATGCTCCTTCGCGAGCCGACATGTCCGTGTGATTTTGTTGTCTCGCATCCTTAGCAACGGCCATTGCCACGGCGAACACCATGTTTGGAATGTGATTTCGTCATTTTCCCAAGTATGCGAGAGAATGGCGTATGGAGGGACCAGCTTCAGCGAGAAATCCTCGATCTGCAGGGTCTGGACGTTAATGAGCCTCATCTTTGCCAGACGTGAGGTATCCGAAACAAGTAGAGCTTTAGAAGTTGCCAGTGGTAAATGCACGAAGCCTCTCGACAAGCCTGCCAACACAGGGGCATCAGAGACCGATGAGCAGACGGGAAGGAAAGGAAAAGAGAGTCTCAATACAGTAGAAATTGCATCCAGCTGGCGAGCCGCTCGAGGTAGTAAGAAAGGAGGCTAGTGAGGCTGAGCCGCCAACAATGACGACAGGCGGCTGCTGTCCAGGACCAAGACTACACCCAGGGGCGCCACCCACTAGCCACAATAGCGCTAGCCCATCATGGGGAACTTTGGTCCTTAAGAGAACTTTGGCACGAGGCTGCACATGGCGCGAGGCTGCCTCCCGCACTCCGACCACACACAACGTCCTCTTTACCTATCTCGGTATTTAGTTTCTGCGTCAACGTAATAGATACAGAAATAGATCGTCATAACGTCTTCGCCATCCCAGCAACATCCGCAACCGCCCTCAACGCCAACGCCGCGTCGCTGGCCTTCCTGGCCCCCTCCGTCCCGAGCACGGGACTCACTTGATCGATGAACTTCTCATGCAACTGTGCATCCGTCATGGGCACCTCGAGACTGCCGATGGCGTGCTTGACGTGCCTTGTGAGTGCGCTGCTTGTGCTGGTGAACTCGACTACAATCTCTGCCTCGTCTGCGCCCAGCGTTGCGTCCGCTGTGGCGGCGATCTTGTCCCTGACCGACACGATCTCGGGGCTGGTGACCACGTTGTCCTCGTACTGTGTCGGTCCGGCCTTACCCAGCACGAGGCCCACTGCCCCGCCGTGATAGACGCTGAATTTGGCCTGCAGGCCATCCTGGGGCGTCTTCTTGCCCGTCAATTCCAGGACCAGCGGATGGACCTTGCACTTTACGCTCTTGATCTCCCGCGCGGATAGCCCTTGCTCTTGCATGTCCCGGTGCAGCTGGATACACCCGTCGATGATCGGATGGACGACTATCCCGCAGGGAAACGGCTTGAACGAGTTCTTCTCCGTCTCCCACACTTTCCCCAACGTCGGCATTACCTCGTCCAGGTTATGCGTCTCGCTCACCACATTGACCCAACCGCGTTTAGCTTCCAGGGCCTGTGTTGAAGAGGTATACCCCTTTGATGCGAGGATGGCGGCCATGAGCCCGTTCTGCGCCGACCGGCCCACGTGGAAGGATTTCGTGTCCGAACCGAACATTTCTCGGAGACCAGTGACTTGCGTGGCGGCGATGCCGATGGCGTGGGCCATTTGCTTGGTGGTGAGATTGAGCAGTTTGCCCACCGCGACAGCAGCGCCGATCGAGCCGGTTGTCGATGTGATGTGCCTGTTACCAAATCAGTCAGTCAGTCTACTTGCCACTCACCAATCCACAGAGACAGAAACACGAGGAAAGTACTAACCAACCGATGTCATAATGCTTAGGCCACACGGCCAACCCAACTTTGCACTCGGCCTCTATGCCCGTCACCAGGGCCAGGATAAATTCCTCTCCCGCGACGGGCTTTCCGAGCGCCTCGGCCTGCGCGAGCAATGCGCTCGCCACCGGGCCCGTGGGGTGGATGATGGTCTCCAGATGTGTATCGTCGTAGTCATGGACGTGCGAGGCGATGCCATTGATCAAAGCCGCATGGGAGGCATCTGCGCTGCCAATGTCGTCCTTGTCCTTGTCGTCGGAATGGCCCAGGATGCTGGACGTGGGCTTTCCAAAGAACGGCGCGAGGGCTTTGAGCGCTGTCGTGGTCGTCGGGTGGTTCGAGCCGCCCAGCGCGCAGCCCGTCCAGTTGTAGAAACTTCGCACGGCGGCCTGGGTGACTGGCTCGGGCAGGTCGCTGAATTGTAGAGACGTGCTCCAGGCCGCGAGGCGGAGCGTCGCCATGATCCTTCCTGGCTCCTGGCTCCTGACTACCTACCTAGCTACCTCTCTAGCTAGCGTTTCTGTAGTATGTCACCGATCGAGCGAAGCCGCTTATTCGGTGCCAATGCTGGATCTAGTCTCTATTCCCTTTGGACTTACACCACCCACATGTATACAGCCTCCTGCTCGAGAGCGATGTGTTGTCAGACGATTTAATAACAAACGATGGAAGCAAACGGGCGCCTCCTTTCAAGAATGCGAGATATCGCGGAAAAGTATCAATTCACTCACTCACTATTGATAGTTTCAGTCATATTATACAAATGGCGTATACTCCCGTACGTTCTTTCCCCACGGGCTTTGTCCGCTCCGTTGCGTCGCTGGCCCTGGCGAGGGTGCCGACGGCTGACGGGCAGGTAATGATCCCCTCACGGGCCTGGGCCGATATCGCAACGAGCAGCCCACCCAGCCTTTTTCTCCAACAAGGCCCACGGAGACCTGATGGGGGTGGGCACCGGCATAGATACATGATACTTGAGGTCTACGCCTCCGTATGAACGCTGATCTCTGGCACAAGACGATAAAAAAGGTATTTCGACACACCGTCGCTACACTGCAAAGGATTCCAAGAACATCGAGTACGTCCACTCTGTACCGATGCCGTCACAATTAATTAACTTTACCAGCCAGCCTGAACATTTCCCTACTAAACAAACTCAGTACAATTATCAGGCACTTTTTAGATCGGTCTCAACCATCACGCCAGCCTCGCCCACTTAAACATACTCGGCTATTGTCGTGGATGCCCATGTCTTTGAAGGTTTCAGGTCCACAGCCGGGTCCAGCGGTGCGATACCCAAGCCCGCCACGATCGAAGCCATGCTTGCTCTTCTTGCTTTACCGTTGTGAGCCTTGTGGATTTCTCTTTCTTTTTGTCTGAGTTCCTGCCATTCCATCGATCCCTGCTGGAAGATTCCGGTACTGGGGAACAGTGCGACACCTGGGTAAACCACCTCATCCTCCCCTCCGTCCAAACTCTTGCGGTATATCCTTGGAGATACGCAGAGTGGCTCAAAGGTGTTGTCTCCTATGATTATGGGTAGATTCGGGTTTGGCGTATCCTCGATGGTAAACCCTTCACTGAACTCCTTCCACCCGGGGCCACCATTCATAGGCGGACCAGTGTCGATGTACACCGGTGATCGATCGCGGCGTGATTCTTGGCCGAGCTCCATTGCCTTGGTGAATATGTTCCTCAGCTCGGACTTGAAATCGGGTTTCTGCTTTTCGCTCAACAATGGTTCGAGTTTGTGAATGACATCTAGATCGATCGCAGTTCCTATCTTATCTCCAACGTCCACCTTCTCATCCAGCCGATCCAACACCCTCAGAGTGGATACTTTCCAGTCAGTTTGAATCTCTTCACCGTCCTTAGCCAGGCGTATGTATATCTCGTTGAGGAGGTTTCTGTCCCGTCTGGACTTCCAGTACTGCCGAGAGAAAAACGGTTGCCAGACGGCATCACGGATGGCATCGAAAATGATGTTTTGCACAAAGGCAAGCCGAAGAACCCGTGCACGTTCCGACTCGGTAATTGGGACCACCTGAAAGGCGCTCTTCTTCCTTCTGAGTTGGTTATATGCACCGACCGGATTCTGTACAAACAACGCATGAGCAAGACATCAAGCAGAGTGCACCGCAACGACACCTCACAGAAATTAGTGCTGGAAAGGTGAAGCTTACATCCATAGCTTCTTCCGGTAACTCCGAGAAGTATTCACTGGCGATCGAGGCCACCGACTCAACCAAAAGTTTGTATCGGCCCGCGCTGTCATTGATCTTTAGTTATGACAGGGTGATTGGCAGGGAGGGAAGGATTTCTTACTAATGTTCCTGTGGTAATCTTTCCACTTCATACTTGGCCTTCACGTTGGCAAGCGCTTTTTTGAGATCCTTGATCTCTGCCTCTGCTTTTTTCTGGGTCGCCTCATGATTTTCCTTCTCTTGATCGAGCTCCTTGCTTATCTTCTCGAGCTTTCCTTCGAGATCTTTCTGCTTTTCCTCAAGTTGTTTTTTGTCCGCCTCTAGCCTCGCAATATTATCTTCATTATCCTTTTCCAGTTGGGCTTTCTTCTGCTTGAGTTCTTCTTTCGCCTTCTGCATGGCTTGGTCCTGCTCTTCTTTCACGCTTTTGATCATCTTTTCGTACTTTTCTCTTTCTTGCGCTCCTGAATCTGCCTGCGATCGTAGTCCGGAGACCTCCCTTGCATGCTGTTTCTGTTGTTCGCGTAGCTGCACTTTGTGGCTCTGCTTGATCCTCTCAATTCTCCAAGCCAACGTTTCATTTTCATTCTCTAACTTATCCACATGATCCTCGAGTACCTGGTCTTTGCTGTATCGTTCGTCCACTGTCTTTACTACTTCTCCGTATTGGTTGAATGTCTCCGTGAGTTTCGTCACCGCGCTCTTAACGACAGAGAAGCCATTCTGAAGGTTCTGCACCTGGTCGTGAATCTGGTCGTGGAACAGTCCAAAATGCACACTGTCAAAGTGGGTGCTCTCCAGGCCATTGGTCTCAACTCCGTTCGGCTCCCCGTCGGACACTTTCTCCGCCGTCCCGTTTGTCATTGCATGCATGCCTGACTCGGTCATAGGAGCTGGGCGGACCTTGGGTATCGTAATGGCCTTGAGTATGTTGCCCAAGCACAAGAGCGACAACTAACTCACCGGCAGCTTTTCTCTCTTTCTCGTGATGGAACGCACAGGGTGAAGAATTTTGCCCGCATAAGACTCAATGCTTGAGATCTCGCGGTCCAGTTGCCGGGAAAATCTGTAATTAGGAACTTTGCGGGACATAGAGCACGGCTCTGATCATTGTAAGTGGATAAACTGTGTTGAAGAGAGCGTGGTTGATGCACTGGAAGTGAGCTGTATTTTGGACCAGTCTCACGAGATGCCCTGTGTTTCTCTCGCTGGCAATCACATGGTAGTGGCAGTTGATCGATTGACTGCCCAAGAACTTCTTCCACGTGTATGCCAGTGAGTGAAGGAACAACGTCCAAATCTCGACCAATGCCATTAGGGGACTTCGTAGTGGTACGAGGATGTCCAGGGTTCATTCCCATTTTTGGATAGCACCGTTCTGTAATTGGACGCATCGGCCTAATCGTGAGGCGTAGTCGAGAACACATGGTCCGTGCAAATTATGGGAGATTCTGAACAGACCTATCAGTCCTTGCACACGATTACACACGACCAGCTCTTTTGCACTGAGTATTTGGCCCCCCCACGTTTGGAGGTCTGAGCTTTTCTGCAAGGATGCGTTGTCATTGTTGTAGAGCCAGAGCGAGTACATGTCTATTCGAACCTGCTGCACAGATCGCTAGCTGGAAGATGGAGAGTTGAATGGGATTGGTGATGGAAGACAAGGCGTTTTAGCTAGTGGCTGATGAGTTTCCCGGACAGCCCGGTCAACGGGCGCCGAGAAAGTCGCCTGAGTGTGGGATGTCCTCGGAACGGACCGCGAACGGGTCAAAGATACCGTACGCGGTACCTCGTAAAAGGTGAAGCGCCTCGAGCGAACCATGGAGGCGAGGCTACTGTGTACAGAGTGGCAGCGACCCAAGGTTGATATACGATCGCCACGATCTCGGCTTTTCTCTTCTATTTCCGAAGGCTGCTGGTAACGTTGTTGAAAGCTTTGGATGTATGTCGTAGGCCCAAGCAACTATCGTATTGTACGGTGTAGACCTCATCTGTGGCGTGCCTAGCGCTTTCCTTGAGGATAGGTGGCGTTTGCCTCTATGCAGCCCTGCACTCTACTCGGGGACAGCAGCACGCACGGTGACAGAGACAATATGCGGTCAAGCAGAGAGGATCTTCATTGCTGTCACATCGTGTTGTAGATGACTCTCATCGGGACGACCTAGGGTACGGGCCACTTGGCTTTTACGGTGAAGAGCACTCCGTATCCTGCTGTACATCACGCCTCTTGGTGTTTCTTCGCGCCGATGTCTCTCTCTTTTAAGAGTCGCAAGAGGAAGGCACTCGCGTGAAAATCGCATCCAGCGTTCTTCTCCAGTGCTTCATCGAGAGCTGACGTGGCTGAGATATGGTCCAGGCGCGGCTTCACAGACAGAGGTTCTGTAAATCAGAGACGACGGAAGAGGAGTGTTCGTGATGAAGCCCTGATCCTGAAGCTTCGAGTCAATCCGCCCAGGTGGCCGTGGAGGCCCCAGCAGCTCAGACGCCCTGGACGCCCCCGTTATGGGTGCGACCGATAAGCGTCTCGGCGTCTCTATCTGCACGTGACATGAGATCTTGGCATCGTGACACTCTGGCGACCTTCGCAAAAGGGGCTGAGAATCAAGGCCCGCTACCATCAGATCCTCATATCTGTCAACATTTTCTCTCCATATATTAATCCATTACACCACATATTAAGAACAAACGGCACGGCACAGAGGGGCTTCGAGGTCCCATCTGTCCAAGAATTGCCCTGCGCCACTACACATATTGACGACATTTGCTTCGATTTGCTCGTCTCCAGAACCACCACCTTGTCACTTCAAGATCTGAACAACTCTGCCAATCAACGTCTTGGCCTCCCTTTCCCTTTGATTGAAAGGAAGGGGTTGTTGCCACCATATCTGTCACTCTTCAAAGCCTCGAGTCCATCGACTTCGATAAAATCCCGAGTTCCAACTCTCCCAATTAACAACCCGCGGCAAAAATGGTCAGTCCCTGCCCACCATCACTTTTGTCTCTCCCCCCCCGCTCACAGAGATGATCCTTAAAGGCCCAGACTCCCGCGCAACGCCGTGCCAACGAGAAACACGCCAAGGGCGTCGAGAAGCGCATGGGCAAGCCCGAATCGGCGTACAAGAAGAAAGAAACCAAGAAGTCGCCTGTGGGCGTCGCCGCTGTCGGTTCGTGCTCAATTTATTTATTGCGTTCTCGTCCCCCTCCCCCCTGTCTATGGCTATCCTCTTTTCCCTTTCTTCCCTATTTCCCTGGGACGTTGGTGGTTCTCGTCTCTTCATTTCGCGGCCGAACCTACGAATATAAGGTATCTGCGTCCCCTGTAGTCTTGTGGCTGATGGATGGGAAACAGTGCTCCTCATTTTCGTGGTCGTCGCGCCCCTGATCATCGAACAATTAAAGCTGATCCCGTATCTCTGGGGCCTCTTCCTCGATCTGCTGGCCAAGGTCGGGCTAGTGTCGAAATAAATTCGATCCACGGGGGCCATATTATTCCAACAGAACTCCGTTTTCCTTTTTACAAGTTCTCTCCTCCCCTTGCCTGCATCAGGCGAAAAGCGGCATGCAATATCGCCGCAGAAATTTGGTGGTCAATGCATGCATGGATTGGACTGGGCTTGGGTTTCAGTCAAATTCCGGCCCGCTGGGCAACCTGAGGAGAGGAAAGTAGAATTGGAGAGGGAAAATTTCCCATCATATTACCGGCTAGGTTGCTAGAAAATTACATTGTACTGTACAATCGAAACTCTATGAGAACATTCCCATAACAATAGAACGCCCAAATTGGCAGCCTCTGTCATGCCCTCGCACTAGTACGGAATCCCGTTGGTGATTAACTGGAACTCATCATACACTTTGGTTGTCACATTCGCCGCACTCTTCTTGATACAACCCAACATGAACTCTGCAGCTTCTCTCTCACTCTTTTCCAGCACGAATCTCTGCTTGAAATTCCTCATCGTTTCGGGTTTGAAACATGGCAACCCGCTATCCAGCATCAGACTCACTAGATGACTGAGCTTGTCGCAATAGGGTCTGCTGGCGAGGAAGGCTTTGATGGTCAGCTCTTCAAACCAGCGGTATGGTTGGCTGGTATTGGGGTCATCCCCGCCCATGACGGCAATCATCTCAGGCGTCAATTTGAAAGGTGCGCGCTCGAATTTGACTCCGCCGGGGGCAATATCGAAACAGAATCCGAAATCAATGTGAAGGATGTGGCCTTTGTCATCGATCATAATGTTTCCGTTGTGACGGTCCTTGAACTGTAGGAGGTACGTGATGACGGAATATGCAGCCATGCTCTTCACGAACTCACTGCGGGCTTCTTGGTACCGCACGGAATGTTCGCCGCCGTATTTGGTGATGAAATAGTCATGCAGACCGTTCACTGCTTCCCGGCCCAACATGTCGCGACTGATGGAATTCGGAAGGACATCGATGACGCCACAGCCCGGCGCCGTTGCGGTGACGCGGTAGGGGAACACGTAGACGTCCAAACCCACAGAGTTGAATATGCCGCGGAAAGCCGCAATCATCTGCAAGGCGAGGACGTCTTGTCGACAATCATCGCCGACCTTGAAGATGGCACTCTGCCAGACCTCATAAGTTGAAGAATTCCCATCATTCAATTCAACGTTGGAGATGTCACTCGTATTTCTGCGGCTGTGCCCTAACCGGGAATTGGCGATCTGATTCTTCGGTGCTGATTCCAACTCGTTCGTCTCCTCATTGGAAGCATCCTTATTCTTGCGAATCCGGAAGGTCGCCATGTACGGAGCCTTGGCATGGGACTGCAACGGCTTGCCAGATTTCCGATCAATGCCAACCACGACACCATCGGGGTTGCTCGGGAGATAAACCCCAACATCAACCTTGATCTTACGAAGCTCTTCCTCGATTTTGGCTTTCTTTTCAGGCTTGGGCCTCTTGATGAACGGCTTGAGCTTGCCCGATATATCGGTCACTTCACTAAAGAACGCAAACTCGCGCTGGTAGAAGTCCTTGTCTTCGCCGGAGAAACTTTCGACGAGACTGTTCATGACCTTATCCAGCGTGGGCTTGACAGGATCCGGTACTTGTGAGTCTTCATCTTTGTACGCATTGGCCTTCATGTTCCAAATAATCTGATGAGCGAATAACTGTGAGAACTTGCCGGTCTCGATGATGTACCGCTCAACATATCCCAGCGTATCATAACGCAAGCTCTGTACAATCTGTGGGACATAGAAGAAAGTAACGTCGACAGAATGGCTCTCCACGGCTCTCATTGCATACTGGATGACGAACGGATGATTTCCAAACGCGGGCATGAAGTAAGTTACAGCCTGAATAGGGTTGACCGGGCACCAGTACAGCAGATATTTCAACTGGAAGGACAGGTCTGAAGACAGAGCATCTCCGAGCAACAAATCGACTGCATTGGCCTCGTGCAATGCTTTTTCCGGTTGATTCATAAGCAGGAAGCGAACATCGCGGCGAAGTTGGTCATGGTTGAATCGGGCGACCAGTTGTATGGCGAGAGCGGGATCTTCTGCCCACGCGGTTCGAACAAAGCCGACAACTTGAGACTCTGGATGACTGTGGTGTCCTGTGTGACCAAGCGGTGACAACCAAACGTTAAGCCGGTTGATCTCGTTCGTGAGAAGAGCTTCCAATAAGTCGTGTTTCTGTTGGGGGTCTTTCCTGGTCGCCGACGCTGGAAAGATGGGTGTCCGCATCCCTTGCAACAAGACCAGAACATCTTGCATAACTTGAACTTCAGCCTTTAATTGTAACCGATTACCTCCGAAAGACCAAAATGGCGACTTAGCGAACCACTGAAGGCCGACAGATAGAATTAGATCTTTTAGTTTCCACATAGCCAACTTGTTCAGACAGGTGCTGAATTTGACGACTCGAAGAGCAAAGAGGACAACGTGGAATTGTATGTCGCGCAAGAGAGGATGTCCCTTGATATGGACAAATCCCCGAAGAGTTCGCTCAAGCATTCGGATAAAGGTACGCTGAGTGTTTGCGCTTCCAAGTCTGATTGCATTGAAGTGACTTTCGAAAAACTGCATCAACCTGAAATGGGGGGCAATAGTATTGTGTGCCGCTTGCGCTTCTTTTTGTAGGGCAATTCTGTCAGATGGAGCGAACTCTTCTTTAACATAAAATGGATCCGGCTGCTCGAATTTAGGACTGAAAACACCGACTTTCCGATTGATGGTCCTTTCCCAGGCCTGTGCAACCTCTGTCAAGATTCGAGCCTCCATCCTGGTGTTCTCATGAATGACCCCGAGCCATAAAGAGATCCCAAGTTTAATGGATTCTTTCGTGAAAATGGCAAAGGGAATATTGACCAGATAGTGCACGATGGCGGTCTGCGACTTTTTGCTTTGGCAGAGCAGAGCTGCTGCGCGTCGGAGGACATCTTTAACTTCAAATGCTCTGACATGAATCTTCTGACTTGTCCTTTTGTGTAGGTCAAGGAGTGCATCTTGCAAGATGGGCATTGGATCGGTAGGTCTCTGGATGGAAGATCTTCGTCCAGTCGTGTCATCCATGTAAATATTGTCCCGGTGGTGGTCTGGAATACCAGTGAATCGATATTCCTGCCGTGCAGTGTATTGAGCTACAAAATCAGAGGCCATATTGATGTCTGTCGAGTCGTTCTTACGGTCGATGGCGTTTAATCTGCGGTCTGTCGGAGAGATCATTGAGCCCATTTCCAGGGCAAACGACCTGCCCAATGAAATGTGACCGTATGCGCCAGTATCGTCGAATTCAGATAAGTAAGTCTGCAGAAGGCCTTTTATATCCAAGGGTGCTACTCCCATCACCATAGTCACCCATTTCCTGGCATCGCTATGCAGGTTTTGCAGTGTGCGCTTTCGGAATGCGTAATCGTCGGACAATTCAACTGTGACCTTGCCTCTAGCGGAGGTGAGGGTAGGGCGCCACTCGTACTCGTCGGTATCTGCGTCGAGACAACTGGACCACATTAAAGAAAGTAGTTCCAGTAACGCGAACAAGGCGGACTTCTGACACAATGCAGAGGGTGCAAAGCTGATGATGTGGTTGGCTGCCGCCCTTGCGACTTCTTGCATCTTGCTGCTACGATGGCAGCACCCACTAAGGATTCGAGCGAGTTGTCGAGACACGTAGGGTGCACTGAATTCATCATCCTTTCCAGCCACAGCTTTTTGGGTGTATCTTTTGACAACCTCGCTCGCAATCGACCCAAGACATGCTCCCATATGGCTGGATTGCGTGGTCGGGTCTGAGAAGTAGTCAAGAATCTCGGCACAGCTTCCAGATACAGCTCTGAGACTCTCGACCAGAAATACAGCGTTCAAAAACACGACCTTCTGGTAGCTAAGCTTGCTGATGTCAGATTCTCTATCTGGAATGGCGAAAACCAGAGCTTTCTTTTGGTCGTTCATATGATGGGAGTTCATTCCTCTTCGCAGAACAGTATTGATCTCCACGTCCGATTCTAAAAGCTCGGCACGTTCGTCATCCACGAGAGGCATTGAATTCATCGCCAACACTCGCAATTCGTGATAATACTGTTGGCCGATGCGAGACTGAAGGGTGATTCCGTGCACGGCCACGTTGTACCAAACTTCTCGGGCCATGGTCAGCACATCGCCGTCTTCGGCAAGCGTGCTTTCAATCGTTAGAGCGGGTTTCCGAGAAGCGAGAATGGACAGAGGTTTAAGAAGAGGTGCTATCTCTTTCGCAGCCTGTTCGACTTCTGCGGATTGCTTGAATTCTCCTTCGACGACGTCTCCCTTACTAAGGACCCGTTCCAGCAGCTGCATTGCATAGATCTTGAATAGTGGTGATCGGTTGTCCAAGTTGATCGCCAAGTATTCTTGGCCGTTGCGCACAGCTTGTGAAACGGTGGCATTTTCTTGGACCACAGCCTCGTGATGCAGTCGAGTGTAAAGTCTGAGCAAAGCCTTGAACTCGTTTTCCTTGCCAATAATGGCAAGCTTTGCAGCTTCTTCGATAATACGAGCGTCAACGACCACGCTGATCCTGCCGACTTTTTGCAGCATCATCATCTGTGCCAGAGCGATGATTTTGCTGTCGTTGCATTCAGTAGCTATGACAACAATCGCATCTGCAACATTTCCACAGACAAGTGATGTTTCTTCGTCGCCACTCAAAGACAGCGAGATGACACTTCCAGTCCTGAGTCTTGTCGTGGATGACATGGAACCATTTTGGCCAGTAATTTCCAATATCCCGTGAGCCTGATGAACCTTTTCTGCCCCTGTTTGCGAACTGAGAACATTTCCCAATGAGTATATTGTTGTGATGACAGCATCATGTGACAGCATCCTCAAAATATGCGACAGGCTTTGCGCCGCAATGGCAACTGCTGGTGGTCTCGAGGTGCCTCGGACAATGAATCTCAACAGGGCCCGGGCGTAGTTGTTGGCACCCTCAGGTATATATTTAGCCACCACAGCAATGCATTTCAGCACTATGTCGGCAAGGTCAATATCTGCCATCTGAACTTGGTTCGCAATCGAGTCTTCAAGCCAACCTGCAAGGTCCTCAGCATCCGCTATTTCATCGTCAAGAACCAAGCAATGCAAATATGCTTCGACAGCGTATGCTTTGACGGAAAACGCGAGACGCTGTTGCCAGACAGAGCTGAGTTGCAGATAGTCCGAGCCATCTTCCAGCACGCGCATTTGCTCGCCGACAATGTCCACGAGATACTCGACCATGTCATCAGTAATGCCGTCATCTTTGACGCGGTTCAAGTGAGTCCCGGCGATGTATTGATCGAGTATGTCTCCGCATTCTACTGTATGCTCATCGCATAACATTCTGGTCGTACACGCAAGAACCAGCTTCATAAAGCCTTTTTGCAATAGCATGGCGCCGACAGGAAGGCCCTGTGCGGCAAATCTCTTCAAATATTTTCTCCAGTCTCGTTCAGCGGTATCGGGGGATGTGGAATTTCGAATAGCTGACGAGGCAGTCTCAACTGCTATCAGGAAACGTTCTGACAAAGCTTCTTTCAAGCACCGAATGAGTTCGACTGTTTCGTAGGGAGACCAGAAATTTCCATGGGCTGCCGCCGCATCTAGAAACCCGATCAACGATACCGTTATGGCTGCGATCTCCTGGGTTTCGTCCTCGTCTGGACTTTGCTCGCCAACACCCACAGCGGCGAGTACTGAGGCGGATTGAGACCAATTCTGCGTATACAGCTTGATGCTGTATGCGACTGCATCTTTCAATGGGGGAAACCTCAGTCCGAGGACGAGAAGGGCCTTCGTAAGTTGAAACGTAAGGGCGGTCCAGGGGGCGGGTCTGATTTCTTGGATAAAGGGCGAGGGTGAGAATACCTGTGAGTGTGACTCGGGCAGGTAAGCAGTCAACTGTTTAACTAGGCGGTCGGCATGAGACAGCTCATGCAAGTCATGGGCACTGGCGCATAATGCAAGCAAGACATCGAGTTCGCGAGGAGACATGGGCACCCGAGAAGTGGGTGCAATAGCCCGAAGGACTCCATCGAGGACACCGCCGCTTCCTTGGGACTTGGTGAACGGCGCCGACGAGGTTAGACGCTTAAAGTCTGTTTCGCGGGTCGAGGATCGGACTGAGGAGAGGGCAGCGAGTTTGGAGAAGGCCTGCCGGCGCAGGCCTCCATGGCCGCTGAGACAACGTCAGTCCAAACATAGAACATGGATGATAGGAGAGCGGGAAGCATACAGGTCCATTTGGCCCGAGCCTGGGGCGTTGTCAAGCAGCGTTGGCGGAAAATCCGCCCTGAGCTGGTTTGAGAATGCGCATTGAGGAGTCGGAAGTTCACAAAGGGAAGTATGATGTAGGATTCTTGGCGGCAGGTCCACCGGGCTAGATATTTGTCACGTGATGACGCCTTGTCCGGTGACGAGGAAGCCTGGTGCATGAAGGGTCACTCACATCGCAAACACTACTCGAGCTCAAAGTCTCGTGGTAACTTAGCTTTCACGATGCTATTGCCTGAACCGACCGCTGTTATTGCTGCTGTTCTCTGCCGATTAGAATGGGCATCCCCGATATACGTAGGCGCAAAAGGCCTTTCCCAGCTAATGGCGGTGAGGTTAAATGTGTACAAAATTTGCAATAATGCCACCACTGCTATATTTGCTGATCACAAGGCCACGAATCTGGATTGCGCACACCAAGTACGCTATACTATTCATAGTAGGTCATTAAAACTAGACATCGCCTCGTATACATTCCTTCCAAGCTTCACTGCTTCCTCCCGCTTCCACTTCCTCTTCCTCTTCTCAGCCGGACAGTTGTGAGCAAGAGCGTGGCGGATAGGACAAAATCACACAAAGGAGAAAAGAATAAGATGTCTGCAGATTGTAATAGCTGCAGTTACGACTGCTCAAAACTACCACCCAGCTATGTCTGCCCATATGCAGATATAACAGGGCTAGGCGTAAGTTCCATTCCAAAGACAAATTTGCCAATATTCAGCCTTACGAGTCAAGATAGTTCGTCATTGGGTATGTAGTTACAGCTTTCGTCGCAGTTGTCGTAGCGTCGCAGTCTACTACGTTACTGTCTTCGCGCCAAGGCAATACCCTTTCCAAAAGGATGATGGCTCGGAAGACCAACAAGCCTGTGCCAAATTTCGCTCAAATCCATCGATAACTATATTCTGTGCTGGGTAGCAACGAAGTTTCCTCGCAAAGAGGCTGGTGGGCTCGAAGGCCGTCTAATCTCGAAAATATACTCATCGAGGTTTCGTCCACACTGTTGGAAACGAATCATACACTCCCACGGAATTTCTGAAAACTTGCTAACTCTAGGAGTGTGCTTTGAATGTGAGCGACCTGCAATCATCGCCGGATCTCAAACCTCGTCTCAGGCTATGGATAGCTGACATGTGGAATCTCGACATGCCACCGGCAGGCTGTGGTCTACTTGGCTCGGTTTTGCAAACTTACACATCTCAGCGCACTCAACGTGTTTCGCAGCTACCTTCAAGAAACCTGGACATCGTCTTTGGAGATTGCTAGCTATAGGGGTGATCATCATTCTGCTTGTAACTGCTATAGCGCCCACAAAACAACTTTGACGGTTGGGGGATTTTGGGATTGATCCACAGGAGCTGGTCCCTCCTCTGGGCTCGCATGCCATTTGCCTTCTACGGACACCAAAGGCCGAGGAATGTCCAAGCTTTTCCTTCTATGGCCATTTCAATATTGCTGCTTGTTCTTGCACTCATTAGCGGCGTTGTTAGACTCTACAAATTATTGTCTATCAATCTCGCGCGGTGGCTTATATCTGGGTTGAGCGACTCCATCAGGAAATATCTCCGTGAAATCTATGCGTGATGCGACGTTCAGACGATACCAGGCTCCTTGAGAAGGCTTCTAGCATATCGGCTACTGCTCTCAGTGTTCCTTGTATGCCGAGTCCTGGTAGACATTTGCTCTTCAATGTTCCTAGAGGTATGCGCGGTTTCCTATCTACAACAGCTTGACTCTTGCTGAGATATCACTCTTGAGTGGCTAACGGTTCCTAGACGTAGTAGCTAATTGTTGCCTTGCTGGGGGTGGTATTCGTCTCGCATACATCCTTCGGCTCTACGGAGTCGACGCAAGCAAGGGCCGCTGGATCGCCCGAAACACCTACAACTGGGCCGTCAGGCACGGAGCAAAGCCGCGGAGCCAGTACTACAACCGAGTCGATCGCATATTCAAACGCTAGAGTTCCACGCTCATTTGGACCGCGAAGGCCAGAGCCGAAGCGGCACCGAGACCGGTTCTCCCTTAAATTTATGTTGGGGTTATCAACATTAGTTGCGTCTGTCGAATGCCTTCCTGGCTTATGGCGCAACCTATCCCGGACTAGTTGAGAACTTGGGTTGGATGTATCTAGTTATACCACCAGCCTTTTTCGTGGCTGTCAGCCTTGTTTACTGGGGATTACCGAAGATCAGAGCTCTCGTGGTATCACCGCCCCACCAAGCTTGATCTAAACCCATGGGCCCGATGCAACATGGCTTCAAATATGGAGGATTGTCTAAGAGAGTTACGCGTGCACATGCGCGGTTGGGTGCGTGTTCAAGGATTTGCCCGGAGAGTGCGCTTGCACCGGGGATCACAACCAGGAGGTATTGAGAAGCGAGAAAATGGTAGATCCACTCTTTCACAGAACGAAACGGGCTCTAATGGAAGCAGGAAACTCCTCTGCATTTCCTTCCCTTCTCAATCGAGATCGATTCATGAGCATGCGTTTTTGGAGATGTCTTGATCTCGTGATCAGAAATTTCGGCGCACACTTCGACAGAGAGCTGAGAAAGGCTCCAGAAGTTGCCCATATTCACCGCAGTTATGACGGTTGGGAGCGGCGAGATCAAGAAACCCAGGATGAATTTGGCCACCCTCAACCAGGGTGTGAAGCTCAGATATGCATTGGGATCGATTGTTGAGTTTTGATTGCTGCGACAATAGCAACTGATCTTCACTCGTTGTCTTCATTCCACTCCGAACCGCTGTCCTGGCGATTTCAGGGTCTAGACATGATATCCAGTATCTCGGGTGGCGCGTGTGGTTTGGTCTTCTTGAGGGTCGACACCTCACTTCCGTGACATCCCATAGAACATCCCATACACTCGACAGGTCTTGTTGTGATTATTTCAATGGCCAGCTTTCTCGTGCTCCAGGTAAACCAGGCAAACTAGGCAAACATGGATCAAACGTGCCAATTCCCCAGCCTCTCAGCACGTGATGCTCATTTGTCGCCCAATTGCAGCTCTGCGATGAGCACGTCTCGCGGTTCAATGAGAACCGTGTTTCTATCTACTACGACTCACTTTTCTTGCTCCAATGTTTGAAAATATATAATTTTTTTTTGAAGAAGAAGATCCTTCCAGCGGACCCTACCATAGGCAGTCACTCTAGCCTCTTCATCGCGGAAAGGAGCTTCGTCTAACTGATAAACGTGGGCTCAGCTGCGCCGGAGCCTCTGTGGGGGTGTGGGAGTTATGGGTCCCAAGAAGGAGAAGAGCAGTTTGAAGCGGAATCGGGTGAGAAACAACGCGTTGGTTGCTTCGCCATTGACTCTGACTGGCTGAACAGCATAGCACCGGCGACGACCAGGAAATCAAGAAACCGCGGAGATCCCAAAGAATCTCTTCGCAGTCTCAAAAGGATGCCCAGCACACACCTCTCAAGAACCAATATCTGCCTTCTCCTCTGACGAACCATGAGTCTACCGTTACCGAAACGTTCAAGGAACACACGGCTACTCCTCCAGAAGGCCGCCCCAGCCAGATCCGCCATATCACTCCCATAACCTCTCCACCACTTCTTCCACAATCTTCACCTCAAGACACCCAACCTCTATCCCAGTTCGTCTATCCTCCTAGAGACATCGAGCCTGACTTGAATGATGAGGATGGGACTTGGGGCTATCTGTTCCCTATGGCGGAGAACGGTCACAGGCTGCAGATGAAACGAAGGGCATTCTGTCCCGCTCCCGCCAAGCCGCTCGAGGTTTCGAGACCTACTGTCAAGAGTAAGAAGCGAGGAAAGAAGGAATTGGTTGAAGCCGAGGCAGAATATGAGCAGGACAAAACAAGCAAAGGATTTCCGGCGAGCGGGTATCTAATCGGTCGACATCCAGAATGTGACATGATACTTGATATTCCAACCGTCTCGAATCGCCATTGCTTGATCTTCAACGAAACTCGAAACGGCGATACGGTGGCTATTCTCGAAGACTTGTCGAGCAACGGTACCTTTGTTAACGAGGCATTCCTGGGCCGGAACAAGCGAAGGGAATTAGAAGATGGGGATGAGATTACTATCTTGGATGAGGCCAGATTTGTCTTCCGTTACCCAAGAAGCCGGGACTCGAGTGCTTTCAACTCGCGGTACCGAATCCTACAACAATTGGGGAAGGGCCATTTTGCCACTGTGTACCTGTGTGTGGAAAGATCAACCGGGTTCAAGTTCGCCGTCAAAAAGTTCGAACGTCGTATGGGAGAGTCTCAACGATCTCAGACAGAGGGACTCGAACAAGAAATTGCTGTATTGATGAGTGTCAGCCATCCCAATGTGCTTTGCCTGAAAGAGACGTTCGACGAACCGGATGGAGTTTACCTTGTCCTGGAACTTGCCGCTGAAGGCGAATTGTTCAACTTGATTGTGACGAAACAGAAGTTGACAGAGGCTGAGACCAGGAAAATCTTCATTCAGTTGTTCCAGGGAACGAAATACCTGCACGAACGGAACATCGTTCATCGTGATATCAAACCAGAGAATATCTTGCTAACGGATAAGAATTTGTCAGTCAAGTTGGCAGATTTCGGGCTAGCAAAGATCATAGGAGAGGAGTCCTTCACAACTACGTTATGTGGGACACCAAGCTGTAAGTGTCAACTACTGCTTCTCAATTGTTATAACTGACATTCCGCAGATGTCGCGCCCGAAATACTGGAGAATACACGTCATCGAAAATATACCAAAGCGGTTGACATCTGGTCTCTCGGCGTGGTCTTGTACATCTGTCTCTGCGGGTTTCCACCGTTCTCCGACGAGCTCTATTCACGAGAAAACCCATACACCCTAGCCCAACAGATCAAAATGGGCCGGTTTGACTATCCATCACCATATTGGGACTCGATTGGCGACCCTGCACTTGATCTCATCGACCGTATGCTCACAGTCGATGTGGAGAAGCGGATTACCATTGATCAGTGCCTCGAACATCCCTGGACAAGGAACGCAGGCTACATCAACCCTGCTGATTCGCTTGACGGTCTCACCGGGCAGATGAGTGCGTTTGACTTCTCCAAGCGAAAAGTCCAACGGGAACGTACTTTGCTGGCCAACATCAACGATGTTAAGGTGAGCAAAGTAGTAGATCTCAACGGAGGCCAGCAGATTCGCGGTCAACAAACCCATATTCCTGGTTCACCCGCGCATGTGAAGGTGTGGGACAAGAACCCTAGTGGAAAGAATATTAGGATGAGCCCGCCCAAGGACAACAAAGGTAAAAAGCCAAAGGGTGCTGAAAAGAACGAAGAGGACAACAAAAGGGAGGAACATCCTGCGGCCAACCGGCAGCAAGAGGAATTTATGCAGATGGGCGGCAAAGGAGATATGCCTTTGTTTGGGGACGATGTCTCCTCGAGATATTTGCCCGAAGAGGTGCCCAAGGGAAAGAAAAAGTGAACGACAGGGGCGGCCGGCATGTGCTTGACGGGCTTGTCTGCAAACAATGATTAGGATACTTGAACCGGACGACGCTGTTGCTTGCTCAATCCTTGCGCCTGGGGTTGGATTTGATGATACTCGACTTGTCTATGATTTTCTCCCAGAGTCGAGACTGGACTTTACTGGAGCTCACCGGCGACGGCGAAAGGACACGGAACGATTGGATGAGATGACATGAGAATGAAACGACGCGGAGCGACTAACGCTGCGTATGACTCCTTGGCGAACATGTCGGACTCTCTTCTCTACTGTCGCGTGACATGAGTGACGAGCGAATAGCTCCATGGCAGTTTATTGTGCATATAATTCCGGCGTGCGAGGGTACTTACGGAGTATCATTGTGTTCATGCGGCCGGGCTGTGTGGCGCCATGTCCGAAAAGCTGGAAAAGTCTTTTTCTTATCATTGAGGTATGGCGTATTATGGTGTGGTATGAGAAGAGCTATTGCTGTCTACATAATCAATGGGAACTGGTATTTATTCGTTCATCAATCAAGTTTACAGGTTTCAGGCTTCAAGGGTCGTAAGACGTTCTCATCTGATGATTGTATGCTTTGCCTCCAGCCAGCCAGTCAGCCAGGCGGGTGGTCCCTGCCAGGATACAGAATGTTTGCAATTACATGCGGATGTAGATGTAGACTTTACGATACGTGAGCCTTAATGCCTGACTGACTGACTGCCTGCCTGCCTGCCTGCCTGCCTGCTTGCTGCCGCACTTGCCTCCTTGTTTGCCAGGTCAATGCAACCGGTAAGCAGTTGTACGATTAGTTCCAGGTAGGTCCCAGAGCAGAGAAGGCCTTTTTCTGATGGAAAGATTCAGAAAATTAAATTTGTAGCCCGCGCCTCGGGCAACGGACTGGCTGACAGACAGGCACATAGACAGGCACATACTGGCTGGCTGCCACTCTAAGATTTTTCACATTTTCATCAATATCAATATCCATATCAGCAACACAACCACAACAATGATAAGCCAAATCTTTGGGGATCGATCTGTCAAGGGACTTTGTTCCGCGGCCACCAGTCCTGCTGTTGGTGGTGGTGCTGGTGTTGTCCCTGCCGCCTTAGGCGCCGTTCGATCTGCCGCGCCAGTTTCACCGAGGGTACGTCGATCGATCTCCAGAACAGGTCGGCGACGCACAGGAAGAAAGGCAGCATCATGACGTAGCCAAAGAGCCAGATGAAGACGAACTGGGCCAACGACGTTTCCTCGCGGACATACGCCCCCGTCAGAGACCGCAGCCGGCCGATGACCACGTACCCCAGCGACCGGATCATCATGCCGTGCGTGAGGTAGAGGGCAAAGGAGATCTGGCCCAGGTACTGGGCGATGTCGTTGTTGAAGACGGGCGAGACGATTTCGGCGTTGACGCACGACCATGTCGTTATGACGGCGCCGAGCAGCCGGACCAGCCTGTTCTTGTCGACGATGTATGCCGGGAGGAGTCGGGCCAGGAACACATACGATGGAGCTGTGACCGGCTCGACAAGGGGGATGGAGAGGATGTACAGGCCGACGACAAAGCAGAGACCCCAAGCGGCTGACGCCACGTCCGGATGTTGGAACCACTGTAAAATCTTGTAGGGCGAGGGCGAGGGCGAGGGCGACCGCGGCGGCGACTGATTCCCAAGTATCGGGCCGCGTTCCTGTGACTGTGCTGCATGCCCCAGATGTATCCGAATCAGATCGATCTCGGCAATTATCATTCCTCCTATAAAGAGACAAATGCTGCGATATTCTTGCGAGGCACAATACAGTGCGATAACGGCGAGGACGAAAAGTCGCCATCCGCTGGCGAGCATCGATGTTCCCATTATGAGGATGAAGATGGCCATGCTCGACTTCAACTCAACTGGAATCGTCCAGACATGCGCATCGTAGACAAAGTAGTCATGCTGGCTTGCTTCCCCGGGCACTGAACCTCTAGCGAGCATGGAGAACTCAGTAAGAACGTCTGAGGCCTGTGCAGAAAACGTCTCGGCCAACGGCGGGGGCTCTTCGCGCATTAGACGAGGCTGTGGGCTCTCGAGCAAGATGCCGTCCTCGATCATTTGGGTCACGTTGTTCCTCGCGTCAAATGCCTCGATCTGCGCCGTATTGAGGTCGCTGCATACGTACCTTGCCGGTTCGAAAGCTCGCATCTGCGTCAACGTTGCAATGATCACCACGGCCGCCATCGTCGGAAGGAGAAGGCGGAAGGCCCTGCGGAAGACCGAGGACGCGATGCATTCATACATCATTTGAGGATTGGACGAGTACAACATCCCAAGCGGTTTATACGAGAGGACATAACCCGAAATCACGAAGAACAGGTTCACCATCGCCTCTCCGCCCCACAAGAGGATTACAAAAGGCTTCCACATGAAACCAGCGGCGAGTTCATTGATAGCGTATGGTCGCCAGGGATCATCGACCGCGCACGTCCAGTGCTCGTGCAAAACAATAAGACACGCAATGCCTCGAAGGCCGTCGAGAGCGGAAATTTTGTCGGGCGACGTTGTTGGCAATGTTTTTGTGGATTTGGTTCTCGAGGCAAAACTCGGGGTCAACCACAACAGGACCCTGTGGGCAGCCATAATAAACGGTTGAGCTATATGGTTCAGTGGTCAGTACCAATCAGCCCGATTATTTCTTCGGCAGGCCTGTTCTTACCGCCATTTCCGAGGACTGCAAAGTTTAATCTTCCGTTGTACATCGAGCGGGAATTCGAAAAGGCCTTGCCGCCGCCTTCAGTCATGAAGCCAGAAAGGAACGTTTAGAGACCAAACTTCTGGAGTCGTCAGCGAGAGTAAAACTAGCATAGCGTGGGGAGTAGGGCGCCAGGTACGGACGGACCCCTGAAAATTTGGCTGCTTTATCATTTGGCCTGCATTTCCCCTTGGGTGAAGAAGGTCTACATACCTAGGTAATCGCAGTAGGATTATAGGGGACATCGGTGGAGTGCTATGCTGGCTTCACACCCCAAGACAGAACAACTCCCCTCTTGTTCCAATCCCCGATACCGATGATTGTGAGAATATCAAAGGATTTGTGGGCACGGCCTTCGTCACTGCTGACGCCGAGTGTCTGTGGCACGATCGTCAGGTACCCGGACGGCGGCCCACAGGTACAGGGTAGACAAGGGCCAATTGGCGAATGAGGAGACTTTGCAGCGCAGGGGGGGAGAGGAGAAAACACAGGGGGCGGGTAACCTTCATCACCCCTTGCGATCACTTGTCTGGATGGGGGCGAGAGTCACTCACACTGCCAATCGCCTGCCAATGTTCATACACGGTCGTGGCATACGCGTCGTGGCGCTCTTTGGAGACCTGCGCTGCCCAATGCGCAAGCCGTTCAACGGGCTTTTTCTGTAGAAAGGGCGGGCGGGCGTTTTGACCTCCGGCAGCCCCGAGAGGGGCATTCTCGTTGATGCAGGATGGCAAATATCGCTTCTGGGAACCGTACTTGACATTTTGAAAGTGGTGGCATACTGACCAAGAGTATTAGTGAATTCAGTTGGACCTGGGCTACTCGGTAGATGTTCTTGAATGCTCTTGTGGTGACAAGGTGATTATCCCCCATTACTGCTCATCACCTCAGAACCTATTCTGCATACTTAAAGCAGAGCGTTCTCTTCTACGAGTATGCTTTTCCATTTCCTAGTCGAGTAGTTGGACTTGATACACGTCAGAAAAGATACATACCCTGTTAGCTCTGTACTATCATGTCGATCGCAGGTGCAAGCTCACCAGCTCTGGGCTCTTCGGGAGGAATCGCAATCTGCCAGTACCGGCTATCAAGGATTATATATAGACGCATGTGACAGTTCAATGGTGATGTCATGAAGACTATATTATACTGGCGCCACACTCTGGCAATGACATCCGGACACAGTTTGGAAATCGCATTCTTTCTCGCGTCTGGAACAGAACAGTATTCGCTGCTAGGGGTGTTCTTTTCACTCTTGTCTTAGTCTTTTCACGAGCCAAAAAGACTCCAGACCCTCGAGGCCACCTTGATCGACTTAGACCTGCTTTGACCCAATACTCTGGTGGCGTCAGCCATGTCGCCATAATTTAGTGGGTGCAGAAATGGTACCTGGCGTTGTTGGTGGAGTGGGTGGAGCCTTGTTTAGAAGAGGCCCTAACAGCAACAGCCTCGGCCCTTAAGCCCCTGAAAAATACTTGTACAGCCCATACATGGAAACAGCCACATACATAGCACAGTACAGCAATACAGGGGACCCGCTGCCTCAATCCGAAATTGCACCAGTCTAGCCTGACTGTTACCGAGCCCCCTATCCCAAAAAGATTCTGCAGGACTCCGTTCAGCATTCGATCGGGACTCTTGACGCTCAAAGGCCAATAATGGCAGGGTCACGGCTAGGTCCTGCACTCTGTCGGTCCAACCGACTCACGAGTCTCGGTCTCTTATCGTCTGGCCCGTATCTCAACAGACCCGCTCCCGGATCTGCTTCCAAACTCTTTGCGGGCGGGTTTTCACCCTCAGGGGAAAGGGTTCCAAGTGGCATTGACTAACGGAGTACTTTTTTGGTTTATCCCGCCATGTCCTGAGTTCCTCACGTTGGACACAAGAATTCTCTTCTGGTGCTTCGATGTGCTTGTCAATGTTGCAAATATGACGTGGGAGTCTTGGGCTTGGTCGATCCTATGTTCTCAGCAATGCCAGACACGTCCTCTTCAGTCAAGATGAAGTTTGAAATCCTGCAGCAGTATGCAATGCCTGGGAACATCCCATGGACGAGTCGCAAAGTTAGGATCATTGGAGTCTTGTGTGGGATCCTGTGTTTGCGGTTCTTCCTGGGTGCCCTAGACGTAAAACCCCTCCAGGTATGGCCAGCACCTAACACAAGGCGGCCCGCAGGCTCTCTCTGTCTCCCGCTGACAAGTTTCCCCCCAGACCCGGTTGCCTCATGCGCTCCGGCAGCAGACCTATCTCGACGAAGAAGGCTTTCAGTC